GTTATTAATTTGTTTCGCGGTCTCTCCAAGTTTCAAAGATTTTCCGGAAAAATTAAGGAAAAAGATATGTCGACTTCTTACTGATTACCGTTTCGCTACGGAATTTCTTAGCTTTGATTATTGAATGCCGAAACAAAAAAAAATTACTTTCGCTCGTTTTGCAGAAATTTCCATTAAAAATTACGATTCAGTCCAGTGAAATTTCTCAGCTCCGTCACTGAAAAAGTAATGAACAACCCAGTAAAATTTACTGGAAGTGCTTTGAAAAATCAATGATTGATACGAAAAAAAATGAAGTGTCAATTATTAAATCCGCTGCTTCCACGAATATTTCAGCTTTTTAGCAGTTGTTAGGAATATTTAACAACATTAAATGAACTTCAGAGAAAATAGAGGATCAGTCCAGTAAATTGTGTTGCCTTGTGATGTAAATATTTCGGAGAACTGCAGTGGTTTTGTATGAATTGCACATGACTTTTCACCAGTACAGTGCAACACAACACGTTCACTAATTCGAGACTAGAATAATGAAGACTGTAGATTTTTTAGAACATCTAAATACTTCGTTGTGATAGGCTATCGATACCAGGATATGTCTTCCAAATTCTTGGTATAAAATCCTATTTTTTCCTCATATTCAGCAAAATTTCTACAAAAATCTTCTGAAGAACCTGTTTTTTTACTCTCCGTGTATATTTATTACACAATAATAAGGGAGTTTTACATCAAAGGATACTGTAAGAGGGAAAAATGAAATTTCATGCACAGTTGACTATGAATTTACTGGCTAGTGATATACTGAATGCAATTTAAGGAGAAAAAGTAATTATAAATCAGGTTTCAGTAAAATCTTAAAAATTCTCGGCAAAATTTCCACGAAATTTTAAATTTCTATGACCCTTGAAATTTTAGAGAAGAAAATCTAAACATGAAGAACGATATGAAAAATATACAGTAGAGGAGTAAGAACGTCAATTATGGGATTCAAACTCATCATTTACGTTTTTAATTTGATTTATAATTAATTCGCCAATTTCTCTGTAAACACATAGTAAATTACGGTCTAGAATTTCACTCATTCGCTGTTTTACATTTTCTAGAACTTCTGAATCTTCGCTGACAAGATTTCCTGAAATGTTTCCTGAAATTTATCTTTGCAACACAATAAAAATTTGGGTAAAGTTCGGACACATAATTCTGAGCAGTGAAGCTGATAACTGTAATTTTAAAAAATTTTATACAATCACCATCATGAATTCAAGTCGATAACGACATTGTTAATATCTCATTGAGACATTGCTATGATGTTAAAACTCCGTTGTGAAAGAATCAAAAATAATAAAAAAAAAATCGCCATCTGGTCGCAATGTATTACGCTAGGATAGTCTGTACGCCAGCTTCCGGACGGTTCGATACACATCACTGAGCACGACAGCACTGCTAAGTTGAGAGTACGTTCCACCACATTTCGATTTATTTGGAATGCTTCTACAACGAGGTGGGGAGGTTGTCATATATAAGAACGATAAATCTGATGGTGAATGTGGTAATTTCACTCACAGCAGCTCCGCTAGAGTGTCAACCAGCTCTATCCGAAGGAGGCGGGTTCAAATCCCGAGGAATACAGTTACACTCAGAGAAATAATACTCAATAATAATACTCCAAGTGCTTCAGAACAATTGGTAATTTCCCCATAACCTCGTTCCACACTAACGAGAGTGTCAAATTTCGCAGGTGTTAAGATCATGACCGCCAAGTGTGAGAAAATTTCCTACAAAATTTGACATGATCGGCTGTTCACAGGAAAGTTTGAGGGAAACGCTAGACTTATTTTCAATCATCGGAGCTATTTAGAAGGGTACCGGGTACGTTGTAGCACCATACAGTTATAATCGGATGATTAAGAAAAATGTTGACGTTATCAACGGGTTATTCGCTTTCTACTCATTAAATGATGAGTTTGAGGGTTTTAAATTCCTTCTTCAAGTTTTCCTAACCGGAAAAAATTGATTCCCATGAAAATATCCCGAAATGACGTGAATAATCAAGAAAAAAGAACGCAGTTCTCCCAGTAGGTATAGGTATCGAACGCCCAGAATCGATCCACCCCAATCATCGGAAATCAAGCATGCAGTTATCGGACGATGTGGATAAAAAAAGATTTACTGTCGCAAGCAAGGCAAATTGCTGATGCAAAACATACCCAAGATAATTTCATTATTTTCCCAACAAATATAGAATTATTTGAACATAAAAAACGCCTGTTAATTTGATGCAGATGTATATATATATATATATTTAAATGGTCATTTTATATCGCTTCGATGCTGTTACAGTATATGGCAATGATGATCAAGACTTTAATTAATTGGTTTAATTAATTTATTTAACTGGTTAGATCTCGCCATTCTATCCCGGCTAGGAATCGAACCTAGAACCTATCCGTTGTGAGGCAGCGACCTTGGCCACGACGCCAGGCCAGCGGGCATCAATTCTATACATGAAGCTGTCGAGGCAAAAAGAAATGAATGTTCCTTTTCCCCATTCCATTCATTCTTGAATCAGTCTCTCAAAGGTGGAGAATTCTCAATAGATTACCTGAAAGAAATGTCGGTAAAGTACTACCCCACCAACCTCTAGGTCGTCGACCTTTGTGGGGTTCATACCAGCCGCCTCCCCGTCGCAAACCCTGCGTAACGCCGAGAGCTGGTATGAGTTCGATTAAATCATACCCACCATGAATTTAAGAACATTAATATAATATAAATTTTTTTTTAATATATAGAAGGGTGGGGGAGGGAAGTCTCGTACATCTACGGAAGCACCCGTCATAAAAAATGAGGGGACTTGAAGTATATAAGTTCAACGGTGAACTCTAGATTACGTATGAGGGTGGTATTGTATCCATTTACCGAAGTGTCATTTATGTAACCTCCAAATCTCATGGTAGATCAATTGAAGAGTTCGAAATATCCGAAAAAATATATAGGTTAGCACCAAATAATAGGAGAAATATATATATTAGTGATCATTTCTCATCGAAAGTTACCCCCTGATTGATCGAAATCAAAGTAAAAATTATTGAACTCGAAATTAACACTCCCATCATCGAAGTCATTTAGAATATTTAAGTGATGGCGATATTGTAATGTTTCATAAGAAATTCGAATAAAAATTACATCACGACGTGAAAGATTTCTGTAGCAGTTCCGTCTACTTTTCATCAAGCATTTCGATCTAGGATTGCGGCAAAAACATATAATTTTTACTGAATATTTCTCTTTATCTAGAAGAAACTGTTAAGCTTCTACTGGAACTGATTAAATTTCTATTCAATCCTTCGTTGCTAATTAACAGTAATTTATGAGATAATTTATCTATAAGTCATCTCGATATGATCTCAGATTCTATTATTATCAAATTTTGGTTTTCATTAAAAAATCATTGATTCCTCAACCCGAAAACCCCAATTTTCTAAATTTTTCCCAAGGAACGAGAAATTTACGGAATATTTTCATTACTGTGACTGAACTTTCCAGAAATTACTGACAGTATAACCAATATTGCAGGAAGATTAAAATTCTGAATGAGATTGCGTATACGTGATTAGATTCGAGATGTGTCTCAAGGACATGAAGAAATTGGTCATCCGAGGGTTTCTCATGTAAAGCTTTCGCTATATTCACTTTCTATATATCATTCTGCCAATTTCAATTATTGTTATTCGCATATTATTGTTCTTATTGTTAATAAATGTTCATTGTTCGATTTGAACGAAAAATCGTGTTCATATAGATTTTGTCTTATCACGAATCTGCCATAAAAAATCGACGGAATGGCATATTTAACGAGATTATTCTCGATCATTCCAGGTCAACCCTTCAACTGACGGATTTTTGTGTTCTTTCCGTAATTTCGCCTGGCGAGTTATTATTTATTGTCGGTGTTATTAATTACTAATTGAACGTGCAGCAGAACGAGCGAACTGAAATACACATTAACTTTATTGTTATTCATTTATTATTTGTTGCTGTTTATGTCTGTTGTTATCATTATAATTATGAACAATAATAATGATAATAGTTATGATAATAATTAATAACAAATAATTTATTCCTAAATGCTTTAGCTTGTGCTGCTTCTTGAAAAATTTCATCGATTTCATCGAATAGAGCGGATGGCGTTCCTTTTGGCTGAACATGTCGGATTATAGAATACTCGACTGTTACGTTACACGCTTACTCATGTATACACACAATGTATATGGATCTAATGTAATATATTTTGCCCAGCAACAACGGTCAGAAGTTAGGAATGCACCTGGGCTAGGTATCCTATACTTGCTCAGTCTTTCTCTCGATTATTTTTTCAACAAGAATTTCAACCAATAGAATCATTGCATTCAATGTTAGCCTATATGACCTACACCACAGATCTCCCAGATATAATTTTTTGATAATTTTTATTGGGCACCGTTGCCGTAGCAACGGAAAATTCTCAGCGAGTGATGCTCTGAGTTTAAACTGGGAGGAAAATAATATCCCGGATGATAATAGAGCCTCAAAAACATTTGTCTATTTTCCTCAAGGTTCTCTGCGTGCAACTAAAATTGTTGGGTTTTTTTTAAGGAAAAGGCACATAGTGTCTTGCACTCGTTTCTCTTTAACCAGAAAAATTCAATGATTGGTTTTTTTTTGCAACGAACCTATTGCGACATACTCGATAATTTCTGCAATCTTTTTCGCTGGTAACTGAACACGTGGCAGTAAGTTCTTTGGCGTCAAAAAAATTAATTACTTAATTTTAGCAAAAATAAATAATCAAATTTTTCTTTATATTCGATCATAGGTTTTAAATTGATTTAATTTATTATGTGGAGAACAAAATGGAGCGATAAATTTGACAGGAGAAGAACATAAAATAAAAAAGGAACGTGAATAAATGTATTAATTACATCAAAGATTCAAATTATAATAAATGAATGTTTGAATGCAAGAATTAAAAATGATGGAATTAGAAATTCGGTGCAATACATAAGTCACTAATTTGTCCAGTAGAAGAATAGAATTTGTGGACATCAATTATAATAACCGAAAGCTAGGAAAAAAATTTCTTGTAAAGGTAAAAAACTGAAATATTTAAGAGATTGTATGCCATCTACACTGAGAAAAAAAAATGCTTTTGCCAAATATATTTTCTTCCGACTAGTAAATCTGGCAATTACTGTATAAATACTCCCATAAGATTTACTAATGCCAAATATATTTTCTTGAGATTAGTAAATATTCTTGGTAAAAAAAAATTTTCTCTCTGTGTAAGTATCTTGGCGCATTTCTTAGTTGCATTTTATTGACTTCCCATTATCTCTAAAATGAAAAAAATCGTGCTTTTGTTTCTGGAAATACTTGTGATTTTTCGTAAAAATGTATCCAATGGTCTTGTGGTATTGCATATATATATGATAATTTTACTTTTGTTTGAGGTTTTGTTTGGGCAATTCTCTTTATTTCTCCTCGTGCAACATTTTTGCATCAGTAATTAGATACACGGAAAGTTGGATCACGTAAGGGGGGAGACGCATTGGAATTCTTCCCGGGGTATGTGAAATAACATTTGGCATACAAACTTGCAATTTCCGAGTATTGGGAAAAAGTGTATTTCGATTGCGATTCGAATTGTATGGAGGGACTTTATTGTGAGAACAAGTCGGCAGTAAAGCGAGTTAAGTCATTTTTTTAAATTTTTAACAATTGATCAAGAGCAAATTGTTAGAAATTTTTTGAAATTTAAGTAATTTCAAGATAAAAAAACAAGAAATTTCATTCTAACAGTACGCCGAATACATTTTTAACTGAAACGACTTGCGACGAATAGTTTTATTTAATTTAATTCACTCAGATAATATTCCTGTAGCAAAGCAGTAGTTCGAAATTTTTTTCCTTAAAATTTGAGACAAATTTCTTGGAAATTCCGGAAAATCAGGGAGAAAATGGTCATTTTTATTCCAATTTATGAGCAAAAATGGCTGATATACCACTTCACAACAAGATTACTATTCACTAGAACAATTTAAAAAATGAAATTCCATATAAATTGAAATGTACTAAACATGATTAACAAAGTATAGAGTATAAAAAAATGAAGATATGTACAATTGTCGCGGGACGCCTAAATTGTCATAAAGCTGTCTTTGGATGATTTCCTAATTTAGATAACAAAATCAGCTAGAGTGCGGTGATTTCGGTGAGTGAAATTTCATGTTGTCCTTTCCAGGTATCGTTTGACCTCGATGGAGCCATAACTGTGTGTGAATCGACCGCTGTACGAAGCCCTCGACCATGCACCCGCACGATTTGAATAGCTATTGCATGCAATTAGAGAATTCATGCCACTTGGGCGATCGATTGGAACGCCTTGACGATGGCCACGTATGAATGAACTCGTGCTGTGTGATCTTCCACTGTCTGTCAGAGATACGCGTAGATCATCATCAGTCCCGATCTCCGCGAACGGTTTAGGAGTCCGTGAGAAGAAGAGGAATACTGCTGCGGCAATACCCTTGAAAAAGTATTTCATTTCAATTGATTATCCTTCTAATAACAATAATACGCTGTAAAAATTAATTATACTAACAATAACTAAGTCCTGACACGACAAAATTCAGGAATATTAACATCGGTAATTAGTGCGCTATTTTTTCAATTTCTATTATTTTTAATGACTATCTGTCGATTCGTAATGTCAGCCAATAGGATTGCAAGAACTTGGCGCTGATTTGACGTGATTTTTAGACCTGCGAAATCGGACACTTGGCTACAACGAAGTTATCAGAAAATATCCGATGATTCCGAAGCACTGGTGGTATCACTCCGGAATATTTCTCTCTGTACGGAGATAATTAAATTTTAAGGTGCGTACCACTAATAAGTGCAGAATAACGATGAACATTGAGGCTTCTCTGAATCCGATGTTGTCGAGGAGAATTCCTGCCACACTGGGACCTATGAATGCTCCCAGGGCAAAAGCACTTGTCCATAAACCACTTATCAGGCCATAAGTTTCAAGATTATTTGGAAAACCATGTGCTCTGAAATAGAAATTCACAATGTGAATTGCAAAATTACCCTTTTTCATTTAAACTCGCGTGAAACATTTTTTTTTGCAACAAGATATAGTCAAAGTAATTTTAATATTTTCATTTAAAAAGTAGATGTGATAAGTAATTTTACTTGGCAAAAGTAATTTTTTTTCCAGTGTAAATTCTCTGTGTAAATAGGAAATATAATTAAATCGGCAAGTTGGGTTCTGCAGCTGGCTAAATAGAGAAGTGACTGTATGAAAGGAACATAAAGAGGGAATTCTTACATCGACGTATTCAAGGCATCAGTGAAACTGGCTACCAGCTGAGCGGCCATTCCCAATCCATGAATCACAAGACCAATTATTGTCAGCCAAATTTTAGTTTCACAAGGAATAAATGGCGCGGGTCCAATTAAACTAAAGCCCGCCATCACCAGATGACAACCAGCCACTGTAGCAACCTGAAAAGAACATGAACAATAATAAAATTTGAAATAAGAAATGACAGAAATAACAGAAATTCTCTTGATCGATGGCTGGTAGTGACTGGTGATTGGTGAATACCTTTGGTGTATATTTTCTATCGCACAGCCAGCCCCATGCAGGTGCCGTAAGAGCATAAATTCCACCGTTAATTACAAACATAAGACCAAGTACAACTGGACTCAGATTGAATTCTCGTAAATGGGGTTCGAGAGTTGCCTGGAGAAATCCGATGCTCATGCTTGTTGCTATAATTGAGGCAGTGGCTACCATGACACCTGGGATTTTCAGGACTTTCATAAATCCTGGAATTTTGAAAAATAAAAGAAAGATAATAAAATGGATTAAAAAAAAATGATGAATGCAAATCCTTGTAAGAAAATCGATGAAATAAAATTGTAGAGAGCAATAAGAGGCTGTGGAATTTTGGAATTACCTCCAGATTTGTGATCGTCTGCGGGGGTATCATTGTGAACCGGCAATACAAACGCTGTCATTATCGCTGCTAAAAATAAAGCTGATCCTAGGACGGCGAATGGGGTAGTGTATCCACCCACCTTTCCAAAACAGTGAGTAAATATTGATGATATTAATAACATTCAAACCATTCATTCACTCGCAAATTGTTGCGCACTCGCTCGTACTACGATAGTTTCCGTCTTTGGCTGATAAGGATATATGGATTTGATGAGAGATATGTAAATATATATAGATAGATTGATAAAAGCAAATGTAAGGGAGGAAAACGGAATTCTTTGTAACCCCAGGGGGAACCAATAAAGAATTCTATACATTCAAATTAAACAGAGACCGTAGACTAGGATTTAACTTCGAAAGTCAGTTTTTAGATGATATCTTGGGACTGGAAGAAGATAGTGATATCTTTGTGAAGACTAGTTTAAAAAATTGTCACTATCTGCCTTCAGTCCCAAGATATTTGATAAAAACTGGCTTCGAAGGAAATGCGCGGGTTATAGGGTACCACTTCGCAGCATTGATATTTCGATTTTTATCAAAGTGTAAAACGATTTTGAAGAAAAAACGGTAAAATGGAATCATATCTGAAAAACTTAGCACATACTAACCAAGTGAATGTAAATTATGATTTTACCCTCATAAGTTATCATTTTTGGACTTGTTAATTACAGACTTTGACCTCCCAAATCACACAGAATTAAAAACGTCAATTATAAGTTTTAGTATCATATATTACGATTTCAAATTCATGAATTACGATTCCAAACTCATTTAAACTACGAGTTTCACCTTTACTGTTTGAGAAGTAGAACATCCTAATTGACATGTTTAAAACTGTAATTTATGAATTCAGGATCTTCACTTGCATTCTTCGTCCGGTAATTCAAATTTACAACTTTTTATGAATCAGGTCTAAAAGGGAACGTTATTTTTACACATTTAATGCATTCATGTATTCTATCAATTGCCAAAATTAAAAATTCTAGAATTTACGAAGGAAAACTTTAGCATTCTTATTTTTAGCTTCATATTTGGGAAAGTTCATTAGGACTGCAATTAATTATACCTGGTAGAGGGCACCGCCCACAGTAGGTCCCACGATTAGTCCCAAACCAAAAAATGTTTCCAAACTAGCAAACGTGGTGGCGACATTATCCGGGAATTCCTTCGCAATGATAGCGAAACTCGCGGTGAGAAAAGCAGCATTGCCAAGTGCCTCAACAATTCTGATCACGAAAGATAGAATGATGAAAGGGTAGTGACCATCAACCTTGTCTAGTAATCCGAAGAATATGGCACATGTTCCAGTCGTCAAAATGCCGCCATTGAACAGCAGTTTAGGGCCGATTCGATTCAACTGGAATTTCATAATAAGTTCAGTGAAAAGCTATTGAGTTTGTGAAATCCTTACATTGAAAAGTCCTTACGCGTTGTCCATATATAGGGCTGATGACGAAGACGACCAGCTCGAATATTCCAAATACTAAACCGTATTCTGACGGAGAGGCACCTTTTTTTTCAGCCTAGATCAGCAAAAGAAATTTATTCAATGGTTTTCTTGCGGCACTAAAGGAAAGACCGATGTCCTACACGTCAACGTCATAATATTAAGAATAAGATCAGTGGGATGGCCTTCTTTCGATCTAGTTCTATAGGCATCACCATCACTATTGAACAAAACTGCGAGATATTTTGGAGAAATGGCTATATCTTGATATAAAGTATGGTTATGTTCCATTTTCGCATATGCACACAAAGAAAAAAATTCAATAAAAATTACGTGCCGATTCAGTGAGCTGTCAGTGTTCAGTAGAAATTACGGAACAGTTACGCATTTTATCACTTTAGATATATTATAATGGGTCATTCATCGAAAAAACGTTGACAAACGGATGGCACAACAATTTATTAACAACAAAAAAATTAATGCCATTGGAGGCCTTTTTCCACAAGACTTATAGAGACCTCGGCGCCCAGCTCTCCGACTATGTTATCACTTTAGGACTGCTTGAAGCCTCGGAAAGCCCTGGGATTCAAGCGTTCCGCCTGTTACAATCCAAGGCACAACAAAGGCTGAGTAATTTAAGGAATTTAATTCAACAAAAGGCTGAGTAATTTAACGAAAAAAAGGACACCCAGGTGAGAGTCGATGAATGAGAGAAACTTGGATCTGGATTGATTCAAGGCTGACTAGCCTGGGATAACGCTGGCTCTGATGATTGATGCAAGTTTGGTTCAACATTGGAATGTAACCAAGTGACAATGCTGGACCAACTAAGCCTTGACCAAGGCTCGCCTATCGGTATTGATCCACGGTTGCTTGACTGTTGTCTCAGTCCTGACGTCTTAGATCAAGCTTAATGGTTTTCTGCACCTATATATAGCCAAAATTAACATTTCTCATTTTTCTGGCAAACTTACTATGGGATTGACGTGAAAAAATATGACGTTTTTGGTTTTGTTATTATTTAATGGCGCACACGAACTTTCAAGATGGTGCGAACATTTTTCTGTGCTTTTCCTAAACTCTTAAAGGGAATTACAAAACAAGATAAAATGCATGAAAATTATCGCACCATCACAAAACTTCACGAATTACTAAATAATGACAGAACGCAAAAACGTTATTTTTTTGAACATCAATCCCATCTATAATTTTCCAAAAAATATAAATAAAAAACGTGAGTTTTGACTGCATATGGGTGTGGAACATTCTTAAAATGAGGCATCAACGAATTGAAAATGAAATATCATTAAATTTGAGACAGTCAATCGAATTTGAGACAGTCAAATTTTCATACTGGTGAAAATTCCAAAGAGTGTCGGAGTCCCACTATGGAATATATTCATTTATATGACAATAGGATAAATTTTGTTACAATGTTAGTTGACCAAGCTAGATCAAGTGTGGATGTAGGGTTTTAGGGTACCACTTCGCAGCATAATTGTTTCAAGCTTGCAATAAGGCAAGCTTGATGTACCAAGCTCAGGTAAACCGACATTGGAACAATCTTTAATTAATTCTCAATCTTGACATTTTTCGCCCGGGAAACAAAGGAATTAGTTAAGTTTCCTAGAAAAGTCGCTCGCGCTCCCGTTTTTTTAACTGGAAATACCTGACATGTTGATTGATTTGTAATGAACTTATTCGGAAATATCAGATAAGTTCGAAGCTTAAGTTAAGTTATAAGTCATAAATTCGCCTTTTATATTTTCATTTTATGCAGAACTTCCTTTTACTAGTCACGGAAAAAATAAATGCTTGAATCAAGTATATTTTAAATTTGAATTAAGTGCATACGTTAAATAAATATAATAATATATTTATACTTGATGCAAGTTTTTTTTCCGTAGTTGCTTGATGTATTAATCTCAATTCGTCTAGCAGAAATACTTGACATGCAAAAATTACGGTATGCGCAGTTTCTGAACGGGCAATCATTGAATTTTCATAACCTATCATTTACGCAATAATTTCAATGATAAACTTTGTACAGTCAATTATATCCTTGAATTCTTATCAATATTGTACCTCTATGGCATTCACTATTATTAAACACAGTGATATTTTTAGAGATCATGGTGTAACTATTTCACATTACGTTCATTTTTTTTATCAATGGAATGATGAAATACTATGAATTCTTGAGTATTCGCGAATGCTAGAATTAAGGTCGAATGTCAGGGTTTCGGTTCATTTCATAATTTTATCACACTGAGATACATTGCCGAGGACGGTGAAGTTTACTACAACTTATATAAGGTCATTAACATTTTTGATTGTTTATGAATGAGTTACTCACTTCTTGCTGCTAGAGAAATCAAACCCCGAATGTTTTTTGTCTTTTCAAAAAATCTGATAAGATCGAAAATTGCCACTTAAAAAAAACATGAAGGAGAAATTACATTGATGCGTCACATAATTCTCTTATGAACGTCTCATGTCAATAATTTTTGCTGAAATTCAAGAGCAACCGAGAAAATCCTCAGGAAATTATTATATTATTTAATTACGCTCTTCTGTAAGTCTCCTGTCAATCTCGACTCAATGTAAACATAAAAGCGGGCGGATTTAAAATTACATTTTAATTAATAATTCGTTCGTGCTGAAATTACAACATTTTCAGTGTACATTTTTCGTCCAATTTTTTCGTCGTCGTGAATTGAGGAGAAGGGCACCTTTTGTTCTAACGGTTTTAAAAATATTGCTCGGAAACATCTTATTTTTTTTCTAACTTCTTGAAAGAAAACAACAAATAAATTATTAATGAAAAAATATATTATTAATTCACATGATTTCTCAATCAAAAACTCGAGGAAGGAGTTGACCAAAAAGTCAATGTGAATGTTAAAAAAAGCAAAAGTCAAAACGACAAAATTGTTTGAAATGGTACATTAAATTTATTAACAGAATGTCCCTCTTCACTTAATTTCACAATATTTTCGTTATTTTCGGAGGAAATTGGACCTTTAAAACTTGAGAAAGTAATGAAACACAGTTTTCTGAATGATATAGATATTACAATGGCTTTTTCAATAATTGTTTACCTCTTGAGGATAGAATGGTGCTTGTAGCGATACACACACAGCATTAGCAAAATCGGCAATACTGATGACAATTAGAGTCAGCCACTGCCGTTTGGTGAACTGAGCCATCATCTCGACAATAAATTAAATCCTCAAAATTCACTAGACAACTAAGTAGGTGGCTAATTACTCCACTAAAATAGAGTGCAACACCAATTAGGATTAATTGTCAGCGTGATCCCAAGTGACTTCACAAACAGACTGCAAAGTTAAGGGCTGTCATCATGTAAATACAACAGATTAAAACAACTTTCAGCCCCTCCTATTTTGTTTGACAAACGGGTACGGGTCAAAGTTCGTGTGATACGAAAATACGACACTTGGGTAGACTCATTCATTTATCACTTCGTTTATATTTGACTCGAGTTAATACATCTTGTCAACCACTTTCTTTCTCGAATTTGCCAAAAGTGCGATGAATGAAAAGACTATCACATGTCGCATCATTTATCGCACATTACATAATGAAAATAATGAAAAAACAATCTTAATTTAACCAACTTATTTTATGGTGAGGTAAAACTTGTGCAAAAGAAATATTGGAAATAATTTTTCGCTGCAATGGAAACAACGCAATAGACATCTAGAATCGAAGAATAGAATAGAAACACGAAAATTGTTGGATACTTTCACTGCCTGCGGTCAAATAAAATGTGCGTGCGATGCTTCAATTGCTATTTCGTAATGAAATTAAAGCATCAATGCTGTTTTTAATTGTTTATTTGTAATACAAAATTTCGACATTTATTACTTCAAAAAACGATTCAAGTGATAATTCATTTTGTACAAACTGGGAAATCGTGTACTAGAATTTAAAACTAATTAAGTACAATAAGTAATACAACGGAAAATGTAACAAAATACGGATATTCACAGACTTACGAAGAATATACTAGCTATAAATCTACAGTTGGATTAAATTTATGAGAACAATAAAAGATGAAAGACGTTGGAAATTCACGTGTCTTGTAGCCAAACCTTGAGTGGTACTTTGGTAAATGCCGTGTTTAAAAACGACATAAAATGTTTTGCAATACTGGCACTTGCTGCTGGTCTCATTTCCTCAATGATTTCCTTTGCATTTTGATTCAAAAATTGATTCATTGCTTGTCCAATTACATTGTTACCATTGAGTTGATCAACCACCCGAAAACGTGCACGACCCAAGCTGAAGTCGACGAGAAGACGATGTATTCTCATGTAACGTACACCGTCACGTAATTCTTCGACACCTTGGACTCGAGCAATCGCCTCTACATCACCTATTTCAACAATTCATCATAGAGTTTTTATTTTGAAATTATTTTTAATATTTAGGCCGAGGTGTTATTTATTGATCAAATCACTGTGTCACTCTGAACTGAAATGACATAAGATCATTTGAAATCCTCAAATCGGGGGAAGAAGTTTTCGAAATCATTTGAAGTCATTTGTAATCAAGGATTTTAAAAAATCATGTGAAATCAGTCTGAAATCACTCATGTCTCAGAAATCAATAATGTAATGGTTTAGGTCTATTCCTGATCAGTCAACTGTAGTTTACTCGTCATTATTTCACAAAGGTTACAAGTTAATGATAAAATATAACTTCCAGAAAGTACTTGGCAATTTTTCATTCGAAAACTATGTTCTTAAAAACGTAAATTGCAGTCACGTATTTACCTGATATAAAAATCTCAATTATATTAATTTGAGACATTCATAAATATATTCTCAATTGAAAACATGAATAATTGATTGATACGAAAACTGAAAGATACCGAAAAAAATCTAAACGTGAATTATGAGATTAAAAGGCTCGGACCTAGTAATTTATGAGTTTGAACCCCTTGATTTTAATTTTTTATATCATAATTCACCGTTTTTATCTCTCGGTTTCCTAATTTATGAAGTGGAATGTCGCAATTGAAGTTACTCACCCCGTAATTTACGCGTGTGAATCCCGTATTTTATGATTAGTTTTTCTAGTCCCTTTTTCTGTTATCATTCATCGTGATAAAGTCAAATTTATACAATTCAGACTCATACAGGTCACAATATTGCGAATGCTTAAGAAAGATTTGAAAAATTTTATGGAAGGCCCGATTGCCAGATAAATTTTCTGCCGTTGCATTAAAATTCTGTTAGCTAAATCAAAAAAAAATATGGATACCCGTGTTATTTAATTTGTATTTTTTAATGAATATTATTTGTTTTGAACTTTCGCGCCATACAAATAGGTAATTCGAATTGGTAAATCCCTCGGAAAATTGATTGTCAATAAATTATTCATTAAAAAGTCCTGTAAAAATTAAATTTTTTACCTTTTTTATATAATTTCGCCTAAATTTTGTTAAAACTTTTTTACGCATTTTCCAATGATTTAAAAACAAAAATGAATTTTAAATCTTCAAAGGTTAAAATAACACTATGTATAATATCGTCAACTGGAGCTAAGATGCTGCACTAGAAATGCACATAGAAAATACTTTATTTCGATTAAATAAACTTCATTTGAATCAAATAAGTAGTTTATTAGGTTTTAATAAACTATTTATTTAATTTAAATACGATTTATTTAGTCGTTCTCTGGTTTCAAAAATCGGTAAATATTTGCGAAATACATTCATCCACTTCGCAATTCGCAAATCTTATCATCTGAACAGTGTTCATGACCCAGTAGAGTATTTCGATTCAATCTTATCTTCGATGTTCGATTATTGTGTCACTTATTTTCAATACTTTATAATTTTCCATAAAAAATAATTTTATAATGGTGAAATCATCATAACAATCGAGATGGTGATGGACTGTTCGATACTCATTTTAATCATTCTAGGAGATTTTATGCAAATGAAAGAACTGCTTTTTGCTTAGCAGTTCCATAAGATTATGTACGATGTGAATGAGTCATGTAGTACAAATAATGAAAACTTAATTTTTGTCAATTACAATGCCTTCATTTATAAGCAACGAGTACTTATTTACCCGTATTATGTATTCAATTAATTGCGTTCTATTATTTATTTATTCTTTTCCCACTTCAAACTCCTCCTCCGAAGTAATTTTTTTATTATTATGGATATCTTGAATATTTCAACAGAAATGCAACTAACCGAACAATGCCCAGAAGTCACCCTGACTTTGGATTGGAAATAGAAGGACATTTCCGGCGACCACGTAGTGTCCTTGAAGTTCAATTTTGGGAATGGCAAGATGCAGATCAAGTCGCAGATTCCTCAGGTCTACCCGGACCCGTCCAACTGTGTAATTTCCCGGTCCAATTGCTGTGATATTTGAGAACAAGGCACTCACTCGAACAGCACCTTGACCGTTTTCCATTCCTAATTGAGGGATTGTCAAGGGCTCGATGGGCGGGAGTTCCAGTTCTGGGATACCTTAAAAATAATCCACCTTTATATCAGTACAACGATAAATATATGATTTCAATAATCTGACATAAGCTGAAAAAAGATAGGAGTCAGAAAATTGAAATATTCGACAAAAAATGGCTATATCTATATCTATGTCTAATGCCTATGTCTTTCCTTATTTCGAAAGGAAATATATGATGGCGGTGGAAAATTTCACGGCAATCGACCGGAATTTTTTCCGAATTTCCCAATAAAAATTATGACGTCACCACTCTCATTTACTGAGTCGCATTAGAAATCGGTAAACGAATTTTGAGTTTTGCAATTCTCAATGAATGTTTTTTAATTATTGAAACGACAATGCGTTCTATTTAGGCCATTTTTTATTTATCCTTCGCATAGAAAAAATGATTAAAAAAGTTGAATTTTTGTCGTGAATATCAAGTGAGTTTAAACTGATCTTAGAGATCATTTTAAAAGACGACAGGTGTTTTGATGATTTCATGGGACTTTCACATGGTCGCAAATTGTTTTTCTCACAGCAATGACGTCATGAGTTCAAAAGTGACTAGTCTTACTTCCCAAAATCTGATAAATATTCTCAAGGTTCACTGATTTATTTCTGGAGAAAATATGCAAAGTCATATCCAATCTTTGTTTTATTTACTTATACAAGAGAAGAACTTTATAAATTTTCATCTGTCTTCCAAACTTTCTTATCCCTTCGGAATATTTATCAAACACTCATTTCCCAGGTAATTTGACTGATCGCTTTTACAATTTCATCAATAAATTGAATATATTCTAATCATCAAGATATAACAGAATCATTAATAACAACTTTTTGTAATTAAAATCTATCTCAAATATCGGTAGCAATCTAAATGAATATTTTCCAAAAAATAATAATCAACCACTATATCTTTATTTAAATGTGTGATAAATCACAAAAAAACATTTGAAAAAATTGTATTCATTTGTTTTAATTAATGAGTCCGAAGGGTAAATAAAAAGTTACAATAAACACTAGCGAGTTGTTTGTAATGAAATAATGATGGTATAGAGTGGAATAAATTTGTTGAGTCTATTGTTACTTTTACAATGACTCATTGTTGAGTTGGTGATTTGCAGTAAAAATCTTTTTCTTAATTGCATACCAGAAAATTCACTGATAATTTTCTTATGCCTTCAAGATATTGATGTAGAAATGATTTCGAAGTGAAATTTGTTCGACTTGATTTGTCATTTTATGAATGAATTGATAATGGCAATTTTAGTAATTATCTTTACCTTTGATAAGATACGGCTTCAAGTGATTAAAAGACTTTTGTATGCATGTATCAAGCGCCGGATCACTCCTACCGCAGGGCAAAATGTACTCGGCTGAAAATATCGAAAAAATTAGAATAAATAACTTTGACAACTTCCTTGTAATTTAAAAAAGAACAATTGCCCCATTTTCAACGATGAAAATTATCGAATTAACATTGTTATGAGGATTTCCGTTTCTCGGGATTTTCCTGCTTCCGGGCAATATTTACGCAATAATGATTGCTTTCACTTTCTTATTATTATAAACAATTGAAGAAAACAAATCCCTTATTAATTTAATTATTCTACCCTTCGCTGCCAATCAAATAAAATTATTTCCACGCGAATCAAGAGTTTATTTTCATGATTATCCGATCGCAGGTTGCAGTAGACCTTAAAAAATTCTTGCGTTTGGATGAAAACATTATTCAACAATTTCTTTATTATCTGCCGTCATTATATATATATATATATATATGTATGTATAGCAAATTTACGACTCCTTGAAAGAATGCAATATAAAAGTATAGATCAGAGAGTAAACAACGGTATATATTTAATGAATAACGGAATGTAAAAAGAAGGGAAAATAACTATAATTAATTTATGAATTTTTTAATGTTTTGTTTGCAAACAGCAAAAAAGAATCTCCCGTCGTACTTTCTTAAAATGCATTAACAGTTCTAGCTTTTCAAAGAAAAAATATTGAAAAATTATAATTTAACGGACGATTTTATGTACAAATACCAATTTCCGTTGCAAGTAAACATTCCAATTTGAATTATTATATTTGAGATTTACTCGACACCTCGTAAGAAATGATCTGTCTAGACAGGTTCTATTGTTAATTTATCAAAAAGAAATATCTGAAAAACTGTGAATACTTTACAAGAAATTAATTTTAGATAATGGAAAATGATCTTTATCGAACTTTTTTCAGGTGATCTAGTGAAAAATTCAAAGATGGATAGAATTATTTTGAACAATGAAAAATTTCTCAATTCACGAAACATATCAATATTTCGCAAAATGGATTTTAGATCATGCTGACTCGATGCGATTTGTTTTCAAATATTGGACATTTGGGGATGTTCTGCCGGTATTTTGTCATTTTTCCTATTTTTCTGAGATTTATTGAAAACTATCGATCGGATTGGGATATGAAAATATAGCGTTTGTCCGTTACATCATGATTTATCCTTTCACAAAGTTTCATCTCGAGACACCAATTTTCATAACTTTTCACTAAAATTTATTGATTTTTTATTAAATTTTAGTGAAAAGTTATAAAAATTAGTGTATCGGGTTGAAACTTTATCAAAGAGTCAATCATGATGTAATGGATAAATGCTATATTTTTATACCCCAAGCCGATCGATAGTTTTCGATAAATCTCAGAAAAACAGGAAAAATAACAAAATACCAGCAAAAAGTCTTTAATTCTACTCGACAATTCACAGCTCAAAATATATGGAAGCATAACGCAAAAGTGTAACGCAATTGTGAAGAATAAAAAAATCCCCATAATATATGCGAAATTTCAATATTTTGCGGAATTTATTTTAGGCAATCCTGATAAGATCTAATTTTTTCCCCAAATTTATAAGAGCACAGAAGAGCTTGAATGAAAAAAAAATCTGGTAATTTGGTAGAGGAAAAATTCGGAAAATTTAAAGTGACTCGACGCTTTCACTCAAAGCCGATCATCAGCGTGAGAGGCGAAACAAGGGTTTGAGTTTGAATGTATTAGTTTGCACACGAGTTTCTGATCACCGAGTGGCTTTATCCCTGCTCCCAACTAAACTCACTTTCTCCAGCGAATCCCCAGCTCAAACCCACAGTTTTACCTTTAAATTACGCAATAAAAAGTCTGACATAACCTTCGCCACGCCACAACGAGTTACGCCATTTGTGCCATTATGCCGGCTACTGCTATATTTTTTATATTTTTTATATCTTTCATTAGGTGAACAATTCTTCAGGATTTTTCATTTTTTACAAAAACCAGAGGAAGCGCAACTCAATTGCTCTTCATTTTTTTTTCATTATTATTCTATCCATTCTCTTATTGTTTACTCTTCACTCACTACAATTCCATTATCAAATGACACTAATAACGCCACTAGACACTTCAATGATGATAATAATTGTTGATGATTGTTTTCGACCATTTCCGATGACGAATATTTATGTTAGATGTGTCTGACTTCCAATGAAAAAGAGAGAACAGCATTTTCATTTAAAATGTTTTCCATTTGAAAATAATTTTTTATATCAAGTTAAATTTTATTAATAATCGAACTAATTGAATTGAATTGAATGATTCATAGAAATATCGGTATCAAATTGTGAGTTATTTAATTTGAAAAAATCTCCAAAAGCATTCTCTCATTTATTTACGTATTCAACGGGTTTAAAATCAACAAATTGATTAATTAATTAATTAGCTGATTAGTATATTTCTTTGATGCTGCTTTCATAATTTGATCCATGGATTTAAGCATATTTTTTCGTAAACAAAGAGTTACAGCAAACGCTTTTATTTTTAAAAATTTACAGGATAAAAAAAAAAAACGATCGAGTAAAATAAATGGAACTAATTCCATTGTCAAATTCACTATTGAATCGATGATTTTTAATGAAATGAACCTTACGAGTGACAAAGTCCGGCTCATTGTCACCAGGATTTTTAGGTGCCTCCACAACTGTCACATCTTGAGAGAGTGTACCCCAGGGGAATCCCAGGAGCATAATTACACCCACTACAATCATTTTAACACAATCCAGTGGCTGTTGACAATCAGAAGAGATCCCAATCCTGAGTTTTTATCACTAAAATTGATATCAGAATAATTGGAGTTTCTATCGAATATCCACTGATTTATTCCAACTGTATCATAATTTTAATGTCTAATCCTATGAAAAATATTCAAAGTAGTTATTAGTAACTCTTGCTTTTGTGTTTGGTAAACTAAAGACAGTTCCCCTTCATATTCAGTCTTATATGCGCGTTCCCCTTCTCCACAGGGTGAGGACTCTTGGGATACAAAATAACATCTAGCATCTCTATCTCGCCATTTTACCCAACATTTCAGATTTTTTTTTCGCCAGCTGTGAATAATATACGTGTGTAATTTATGGAAGACTCCCCGGCTGTGCCAAAATATTATTATGTCACGAGGTTACGTTGTACCATTTTATTCCCATTAAATCGTCTTCGCAATTATTTGTGAATTACATTTGTGGCACGTGCACAATCTAAAAAATAATTCCAAAATTGTTGTTTAATAATGAGGAAAAGAATGGTAGCACAGGTTATTGTCTAATGTAAATTTATCAATGATTGATTCTGTAAAACTGGTTTTTGTAGATTTTTTTTCTTTTTCTTTTGAAGTGGATTAACGAGTCAAATGAAATGGAGAACCGAAATCGCGACTTTCCTGTTACTACTGCTTACTAATTAATGTACTGCAGCACATACGGTCCAAGCTGATGAAAACATTGAAATATTAATAATTAGTTTTCTTTATAAACAAAGTTGTTAGAATTAATATTAAAAAATATAATTAAAAACGTGAGGATGTGACATTTCGTTGGAAAGTAATACGAAAAATTTATACGACTTTCGGTTAGAAAATCACCGGAATTGTTTTTCTCAAGTTCGAAAAATTTTCAAGAAAATCTTTGACCTCAAACTGTTGGGAAGAAACATAAAGAAAAGAATTATGTTGATCTATGCAGACATTGCAAAACTACTCCGGTCTGTTCTTAAACAAAGCTGAATTTCCGTGCGCGTGTTCAGGATAATGTAATATTCGTTTTTTTCATTTTCATATTTTTTTTTACTAGTTTCCTCTTCGCAAGTTTTATTTTTATAGCGTGACGGGAATGCAAAGGGCAGATATTGAGAAACTAGGTGTAACTATGAAAGAATTATCTCCGTTCAGTGTAATTTATCCATTTTAGATTTCTGTAATTATGTCAGAGTAATTTGCAATGCGGGAAGATTCGCAGTAATGAAGATACCTGAGGTATTGACTGATAATTGCCGAGAGGATTTTTTTTTTTGTTCTCAGAAATCATGATGTATCAGAATATATCGTATGTCACACATGTAGATGTGGGAGAATATATTTGCGCAATTCTTGAATACAGTAATTTATTAATTCGTACTGCAGGAAAAATAGGCATTATTTCGCTCCATTTCTTGGGGTGGAAGTTAGTGAATAAAAAGATGATACCTTTTTCCGAAATCAGATAATTGTCCCTAAAAGACAAGAGTGTAGTTTAACAAAAGGCGACTAAATGCGTAAGCAATGAATATTCTTGTAATATTTGAAGGTTTTTCTTTTAATAAATTCCAGATTAGCTCAATATAAAAGTCTCTGGTTAATCATTCATTGAATCTTTTAGAATTCAAAGTTATTTTCTCAGCTTCAAATACACAAAAATCTCATATTATCTTGAAATTTATAGTTTTTGCTTCCGAATGGAAGCTTTGTATTTGAACGATCTTTCAATTCTCTAATTTCAATTGTAAGTTATCCAGAATGTTCTGAATCGCGAAAAAATGATGTTTTTAGATCATGCCATTCGAAATTTTGATGATTAATTTGAAGAAAATTCAACATAAATACAGGAACATTCGTAGGTAAAAATCTGATTTTTAAACTTATGATACCTATGATTAACTTTAACGCGCCATTTCAGCTTGATTGGTCCAGTAGTTCCTGAGATATAGCGACTTTTGTAAATTTCGTTTTTGCTGAATAGATCAAAAACTACTGCAAGGATTTCTATTTTTTTTCAATATACTCGTTTCAGTGGGTCCTATCTATATCAATCGATAAAATTTCGTGATATCGCCGTTTTTAGTTTTTATCATCATAAACATTGTGAATATGATAAATCAATAAAAAATAGAGATAGTGAGCTAAAATGTTGTACACTTGTAGATCTTATAATATTAAAGGTCGGTAGTTTGGATGGGCGCTATCGGTTGAGCAGTTCCAGACATATTACACCTTTTGAACGAGTATATTTCCTTGAATATTTCCTGAACCACTCAACGGATTCGAGAGCTATGAAAATATGTATACCTGTCCGTATAAAAATTGCAGGTTATTGGACATTTTTCCGTTGTTTGCTTCCAAATGGAAGCACTGCAATCGTTCGATTTTTCGATTTCATAATTTTGCCCAGAAATGACGTGGAACGATCTGAAACGTAATAATACGAAGTTTGAAGGTCATCTGCGTGTCTGCGCGAATGGCCAACTGATGGGCAACTTTTAGAAAATGTGAAGAATAGACAAATAAATTGATTCCAAAAATCTAAACTTCGGTCAATTCAGGGGGACTAATGCGATCTTGATCTGTGTTAGATTTCAGCCCAATCGGTGGACTAGTTTACGCAATGTCGGTAATGGTTTCTGAAAAGTTTTTTACAAATATCTCAGCAATTATCCAACCGATTTTTTCTCTTTCTTCAAATGTTCGTCTCAGTGTGCTCTATATGGATCAGTCAGGATATATATATATATATATCTATGTCTTCCCACAAAGTTTTCAAGATATTTCAGTTTTTGTGTTAAAAATTCGTTTTACGCGCTCTCTGATTTTTGAAAATTCACCTGGAAATTCAGCAGAAAGTTCCCTCTTATGACCATTGTGGTATCCTATTGATGTTTCCTAATGAAAATGGACTGGGTCAGATGATTCATTTAAAATCTATTATCATTTTTTTTCGAAGAAATCGTTGTCGGAATAGCTATGGATCCAGTCGGAAGCGTACTACCAATTGTATTTTAGAAACGGAAAATTAGAAAAAAAAACTGATGCATAAAGTAATGGTTAAATGTCTCCTGGCAAAGAGGCCAACTGCTTGTTTGTTATTGTGACGATATTCTTATCAACATGTATCCCATTTCGCCGATAATTCAGCGTAGTAAGCATTATGGTATGTATGCTTTGTCATTCTTTTTTCAGAGAATTGGAGAAAAAAAATGTCTTCAACTGTATTCTTGCTGCACAATTCGAGGATTTCAACGCATGTATGGAATCTACTGCGCATTACAATAATCGGTAAAGGGAATTTCTTCGTTGTTATTAAACGATAACGCGATATCATTTGGGGTTTTTCGTCTATATTTTTACTTCCAAGTCCTGGCTTTCTGTTACAGATGGAGTTGACTGGCAGATCTACAAGAGGATACTATTCCTTTCACGGCTATATCCCCTTTCATTCAAGTAGGAGGACGTGCCGAGCGCTACAAGAGGATGGGGATCCAGCTCTGATAATTAAGGATGCTTACCCAAAACCTTGATCACTGTACGTCATTCTGATTTTTTCCTATATTATCCTGCTATATCTGAGCTATACGTTAATGAAAATTTCCACCCTCATATTCGGGGCGCCCAACGAGAAATTAATTTCTGAAAACCACTCACAGCAACATGTCGTCTATCCGTTTATGAGAGAGTTGTAACAGCGTGTACTACAATCAAAGTAACGGGTAATTTACAAGCTCAAACGTTTGAGAAAAAAACTGATTATGATAGTTTTAAGGATACGCGCTTCGCGCGCGCCGACCAGGCTGCGTGAAATTGATATTTAAATCGTTTTTTAATTCTTAAACATGGTGAACGACAAAAGCACCTTAGTTTTCTTCAAAGGTCTCATAAGCAATACAAACTTCGAAATTTGGAGTGTGACACTACGCTCAGAAGGAAAATAATATTCAATAATTCAATGAAAATTCAATTGGATCATATCCAACATATTCACATCTAAAAGAACAAATGATGCGCTTCAAAATGTGGAAGTTAATTTCTTGAATAAACAAGAAAAAATCAATTTTTCTTAAAAAAAATCCCATAACTTCGTGAAAAACGGCTCAAATTGAAGGATTCTGCATGCAATTCAAAGGTTTTTAATCCGCTCCACAGCTGATATAATATTCCAGTTAGTAATTGAGTCGAAGAACTGTAGATTAGTACAGACCATTCAAAAAATGACAAATTTAAAACTTGTGACATATAAAAATTTGAAACAAAGTCACTCATAACTATTCAAAGTGAATACAATAAGTAGGATGCGGGATCATCTCTTTGCGATCTTCAAAATGGTATATAATAAAGCCATATTGGCCAAGTCTAAAGGTAGAATAACCTATGAGAGATGGAAAGCAACGTTCAATTATTTCATGAAAATTCAACTGAATCATATCCAACACGTGACAACTTAAGGAATGAATGGTCTGAATGGTTTTGAATGAGTACTTTTCTATCTGAATTAAAAAGACAGAAAAATTCAGCCAAAGTGAAATTTTCAAGTAAAACTCGAAAATACAATTTGTGCCTAAAGGCATCAGATCTTAATGAAAAATAATCAGAATAGAATGTTTCAGATGTCAATCTGAGGGTTATTCAATAGGTTTTCGATTGAATATGGAATATACGGCGTTCATTAAAGAGCAACAATGACAATAACCTGAGAACCAGACAAATATATGAATATATAAAATATATCGCTGGTGAAGATAATTATGATACCCGGTATAATAAGCGAGAAATTTGTGATTGATTTTTTAAAAGATCTGAAAAAAATTGCCGTCATTAAGATTGTAAAATATTGACAACGTTGCTCTTACAGCTGAACAATGTCGACGAACTAGACGGCGATGAAACAGTGACCGTGGAGTAACTCGTTAAATGCGGTGTTGCACGGTCAAATCTCGAGCGTTATATAGTCAGTCATACGTCATATGTTTCCATAATTTATTTATTTATTTTTTATAATTCTTCATAATTTGAGCTGAAAAGTATGCCATGAGGCTTGTAAATTAATAGAAAAAATTATATCGTAAATGACTTATACGATTTTTTAAATTTTATTTTCCGAAGCGGTTGCTCATTTGAACAACTAAAGATCCTTAAGGATGTTCCACACCCATATGTAGCCAAAATTCACGTTTTTTATTTTTTTTGGCAAATTATCGGTGGAATTGATGTTCAAAAATATAATGTTTTCGCGTCTTGTCATTATTGAATGGCTCGTGAAGTTTCAAAATTGTGCGAACATTCTCATGCATTTTTTCTACAGTTTTTGTAATTATTTGTAATTATTTGTAAAAGTCCACAAAAAACGCAGAAAAATGTTCACATCACCTTGAAACTTCGTGAGTCAAGGCATCATTATACGACGCACTTGAAGTTTTGGACGATAAAATTTTCTTTTTCACAACGTAAATTCCATCAGCACGCTCGCGTGCATATGAAGCGAAAAATCGAACTTTTATGATTTTCCATGTGTTATGTCAAAAAGACGAGTAATCAATTGAATAGTATATCGGAGGCAAGAGTTAGTCCGTGCTGTGAAATTCCGAATTTTCCAAATTTGACAACATGAAAGAAATTTTATCCGTGAATTCACATGGTGTTTAATAATTATTAATTTTCAGAAGCAAATTTTATCAAACCACTAATCATTAATATGTTTCTTTAAATATTTTCCGTGAGCTAACTGAAATTGTTAGGTAGGACTGTATGTTTGATTCAACTCCTTGATGTAACAATTACTCATCATTTATTTTCTGAATATACATTCAGATTAGGTTGATACACACATAAATAATAATTTTAAGTTATAACTTAATTGTCTGTCATAGTTTCTATGAATATTACGAATAGAAAAGATTGGGGTGCGAATGAGACGAATGATACAAGACCATTCAAAGTGAATCCACCAGAAATTGTGATAATTCACAATACTGGCAGTTGGAGTTGCAACTCGACAAAGAACTGCAGAAAAACATTGGTTGATATGCAGGTAATTGATGTTGTTTATGTGCATAATGTTATGTGTTTCATAATATTAAAAATTAAAAACTCGTTGCAGAAATTAAGGACTGAGGGGGAAAGCTTTGAGTATGACTACAAGTTCATTGAGAAATTGGGCATTCCAGTCAATTTTGTAATAGCGACAGTCGCAGCTCCACATACCTACAATTTCGGCGAAGTAAGTCTGGGAATCACCTTCATGGCAAAGGTAAGTTACACCAACCAATTTCAGACAGTTTTTGATGAACACTTACTGGTTTAAGCGAGACACGAAAAACATTGAAATTTGATGAAAAATTTATGAGGTATTTACCGGATTGTTTGTGAATTAAATTCAGACACCCATACAATGAAATTTCTAATTTCACAATGTAATTGAAGTCGAAAAACATTTCTTGTAATGATTTTCGAGCGATTAACCAACGTGACTTTCAATGCCTACGAAAACCTCAAGAATCTGCTCGCATTTTGTGTTGAAAATGGAAAAATCAGGGAGAACTATAAATTCATGGGGGGCCTGGAATTAGGTGCTCATGACTCTCCTAGTCCGCAAGTGATTGGAGTGGAGTAGGACAGTAAAGAAGTTGACGAGGACAGTCCAATTTTAGTCCATAGTAATAATGATTGGGTTAATGTGGAACTCATTTTCCAATTCGAAGAACCTAAAAACTGAAACGCACATCTTAATCATTGGATTAACGATCGACACGCAACCCAACATAATAAATTATCAATTTATTACAGATTATGTTTAATATAAATTCTTATTTCGAGGAATATAAGGGATTAGGCCATTACATTGTTTTGCCAAATTATTAACCGAAGATTGTAGATTAAGTCATAATTTTCTTGTATGATGTTCCATTATTCTAATTTGGAGTAATTGTTATGAAAAAATAAAATATTCAACTGCAATGTTACCCCGGAGATTAACTTTGATTTCAAATTGAACTCTGATTGTTATCTTCAAAATCTGTTTATATGCTACCTCATTTTAATTGAATGGCATAATCAGAGTTGGCCAGCTGGAATATGAAAACAATCTTATTGCAGATGAACCTTCGAATCGTTCAAAAGATATCCTTCAAACACTATATAATTTTATTATTCAAAGTTGTTCAATTTTGTTGTAAATTTATCAAATTGGCTATGAAAAAATCATAAAAATGAGAAAATCACCTAATTGAGAGTTGAAAATTTGATGTTTTGACATTGCCCATTTTATAATTTTTTCAATCAACACCAATTTAGGCATGACTTAAGGGGGTAGAAGTACATCGAGTGGATACTTTGAGTAAATTTTGTTTGAAAAATTTTTGAATAATTTGGAAACTGTTTCTTCAAGGACTGGTTTGATCTCAGCAGCTACTGTCTTCCAGTTGTCATTGAGGAAGAGATTCATGGCGTCAGCGAGGGTTTCATCACCGTTGAAGAGATTGTCCAGATGAATAGTGGCATGGCCGACTTCAAAATCACAATAGAAGTCGACCACTCTGAAGTGGGTTTTTTCGGTTTGGCGATCTGCATAACGTTCGCCCTGGATTGTCACAATTGCATCGATATCGGAGTAATTTCCCCGTGCTCGTCCGTGACCAGTGATGGGCAACATCAGAATTTTTCCAATCATTTTGTAGTCTGATAACATCGTTAATCGAGGAATGTAGAGTTTCAAACGAATTCGATCTTTATCCGTGTCGATTCTGAAACAAATTATGCAATAATTTAGTACCAAAGCGGTGAATCAATTACGTTAATTTTTAAGATTTCGAAATGATTTTAGTATTTATATTAGGGGTAGAGCGAAATGAAAAATAGAAAAAACCGATGGTTAAAACTCATTATTCAACATTTCAGTTTTTACAGGATTCTTAACTGATTTAAATCAAGTAAGAATTTTGAAAGAAAAAATCTCAATAGTCCCAGCCCGGATTCGAACCTGGGTCTTGGCTCAGTTATGCGCTGTGCACTTTGCCAACTAGGAGGAAATTTCTCAATTGCAAATTCAGATACGAACACCGCATACCTTCATTAGGCACAAATCGAATTCAAATTAAGTCAGAAATCAAATTAAAAAATGTTCAATTCCGATATAAGGAATTTCAGCGACAGAAGCGAAAAATGAGTCATTCAGATTAGATGGCGTATTTTCTGACAATGTCGAAGAAAAAACGAGAAAGAAAACAACAGTATAAATGGAAAAAAAATTAAATTCGGAAAAAATACTGGGCTACTTTTAGGCTATGTCCAATATTTTTTGGTGAAAAGAAATGAATTAAAAATGCTTTTCCGCAAACGTTCCGGCTCTCCTCAATCTCTACTAAATTGTTACAAGAATATTGTAAATTATCTGCAGTTAAAAAAATGGCAAAACTGCCGAAAAATTATTGTCATCTAATTTCTAGTTCTATGTTTTCCATTCCAAAGGAATGTTTAAGATTCGTAAATTCGCTATTGAAATTTTAATTGTAACGAGTAATTAAATTTAAATGATAATTTTTTTCCAATATTCAAGAAATGAAGAATAAAAAACAATTCAAGAATATAGAAACATTTTTGAAGCTGAAATATGTTTTTGAAAGGAAAAAAGTGATTGGTATCTAGGTAGAAATGTTTTTCCGCTGATGTTTCATTCATACCATCATAACGTTTCAAAGTGATTTATTATTATCTGATTCAGACAGTTTTGATCGATCAAGCAAAATGCTTTCAAAAAATGAGACCACGGTCGTGACCCAGGTTTGGAGATGACGAAAGCAAAACAAACAAACAACCAAATAATACGAATGCAAGTATATGACTAGGTCGTACATAAATTCTTTTTTTTCATCCATGAAGACTTGCGGATGATTCAGGGAGAATCTTGTCGGATATTTAATTTTAAGTAATCGTTTATATAATACCTCAAAAAATAGAAAGACCGATTATTCTAAAAAAAAGGGATAAATGCATTTGTTTTAGCTTCAATTATTAAAACCGAAATTAGTCTAAACGAAGAGAGATATCGAAATTTTTATATAAATTTTTTTTTAGTTCGGTTGTCGCTCTATAAAAACTATTTTTCTAAAAATTTCTCGGTTTATCTTCGTTTAGATCAAATTAACGATAAGTGATTCCAAGTGAGATATACTCATCCTCCTTCACTATTGCAGTGTACAATTGGGTAATGAACTAAATGCATTCATGGCAATACTTAAAAAAAAAGTGAAACATAAGTTATGATTCCGAATCTCGTAATTTCCGCCGTTAATCTGATAATCTCTGTAATTGGAAACATCGTAATTAAACTGAATCAATCATAGCATTTTGCTCCACTTATGCTGAGAAAATTTTCTTTAGTTAGTAATATTTACTAATCATAAGAAAATATATTTAGCATTAGTAAGTCTTATGGGAGTATTAACATAGTGATTGCCACATTTACTGGTGGTTAGTTAATTCTATTGGCTAAAGAAAATTTTTTTCTCCGTGTATAAATGATTAAAATTCTCTAAAAAAAAATATTCAATCCATTAAATAAATAAGAATTAGTAATAAAGGCTCATTACAGCTATTTTTCAGAAAAGTAATCACTTACTTAACACTCTTCAAATTGAAATCTGATCCACCTCCAATTTGAATATTGGAATAAGAAGAGCTGATTGATACAGGTCCTGCCGCTTGACTAATTGCTATCTCAGGTACATGAAGTGGTTCACACGGAGGAATATTGAAAGCAGGTATTCCAGTCTGGAGATAAGGCCTTAGGTGATCCACACTGCGTTTGATGCACTCATTCAAATTTGGATCACTCCTCCGGCATATTTTGAGGAATGATGCTATCTCGATTGTAATGACGTGTAACAAATTAGTTCAGTAAATAATCTAAAGAAAAATTCTTACGCTACAAATAGCATCGCCTAGATTGTTGCATCTAGACCAGCTGCGTATCTGACTCATATGGCAAACCATTTACAGCCGGTGACGGCATAACACGCTATTCTAATTACAAAAATCTGATTACACAACTCTTTTATAATTCAATTACTCACGTAATTCTTCGGTCCAACATTTTCCATCTAACACAATTCCATACAGATAAAGTGTGATGATAATCCGACGCATGTTGACTGGTTAGTGAAAGCAAACTGACCAAATTTTCCTCACGCGAAATTACAAAACAGCGAAAAGTCGAGTGTAAAAATCGCTGACTTAAATATTTGCCCCATGTGACACACTAAATCCGCTGATATTTGGAAAATAACTTTGGTAATCGTCTCATAATTTCACAATTTCCACTTTAATTTGAGTAATAAAAATTCAACGCTCAGAATAAAACAACAATGATTTTTAAACATGAGAAATCATCGACAACTTGAAACGGCACCTGAAATTAGCGAACTAGGTAAATGAATTTAATCCTTAATGATCATGCGATCGAGTGGCATCAACCTGTCCTCAATGTCACCATCAAACCTTGCCCCCCATACACGTCTATAAATGATGTGAAAAATTCATGGCAGACACTTGAGATGGACATTATTCGCAAGCCACCAACAATACCAACTAATACGGTCCATGGCCCAGTTTATAAATCCTTTTTACGTACTGCTTCACTATTAATTCCACTATAAAAGCCCCGATCCATTCAGATTAAGTTATTCAGTTGATTTCATTCGTCGGTACATAAGACAACCGATTTAACTTGACTCTCCTCCAATAAAATGTGAATTGATTTGATGTGCATTGTGCTTTCATGTTCCTTGACAATCCTGATCATCATAGTGATCATCCTCGTGATTATCTATCAGCCCCTCTTCATCTGGCAGTACAGAGAAAGCAGAGAAAGCTATTGATTTGGTTATGAACTCGAATCTTTGAGAATTATTGCAGTTATAGTAGCAAATAGCAAGTAAATATGGAGTGGATTGTTATCAAGATTTTGCTCCTTGGTAGTTTAGTAAGTTCACAGGTATCAGGTGGTGACGATCTCCTGGACTCATCACAGATCCTCTGGTCCAAATTATTGAATGGAAGTTTATCAGAGACGGGTCCACTGGATCCTCTCCTCGTGCCACTCGTGAAAGTCGATCAATCTCAAGGACACGTGTCGTATCGAATGATTCTGAGTGATGTGGAGATCACCGGTTTGAACGAATCCACAATCGAGAGTGTGCACATCGGTAGAGGAAGTGCCAAAAGTCATTTGAGTGAGTACGAATCTGGTTATGTCAGCTACTCCGAAGCTGGGAAATTGAATGCCATCAGGTACAGATTCCACACAGCTGGCAAAGCACCAAGGATTCCGGACTCTGAAGAATTGAAAGTCAAACCGATCGATGAGAGTGATGCCGATCGACGCATCGATAACAATAGGTTCAGAGGAAATGAATTCAGAAGAGCCAACGGAGACGGTAGCGAAAGTAGTCAGCAATTCTCACAGATCCGCATTTATGCTGATGAATCTCGAGCTCCGATTCAAGGACGACGAAATTACCAGTCGCATCCGGTATATTATCCTTCAGGGACTTACCAAAATCAGAATCAGAGGCAGAAAAACAATCAAGATTATCAGACCCAAAGAGAATCTGTTCATGACAGAAATGAGAACCCTCAATTTGGAAATCTCAGAAGTTCACAGCAACAGAAGTACTATGAGAGTCAGGATAATCAGAGACGTGACTCGCAGTATCAGATTCGTCAACCCTATCAAAGCAGTCAGCGGACTACGGCCGAGGACCACAACACTCAGAGACAACATGCGGAGGAGACGAGATATTATCAGCGGTTTTCTGGAACTCCGGACAGTCAGAGAGAATATTCTGAGACAATTCGTCTTCAAGGACAATATTCAAGGCCCCAGAGCAATCAACAGAGTTATGATGATCAGTCTTTCAACCAACATGCTGGAGTTAAGACCTCCAGGGTGCAACCAGCGCGTTATTCTAATCAGAACCAACCAAAAAGTGACGCTGACAATGCAGACTGCTCGGAATCTCAATTCGGTTGCATCTATCGGAGGCCTGGCAACTCTCAACGATTCAATTCAGATGAATTTGAAAATCGAAATAGAGAAAACTTCGGTGCTCAGTCGAAATACACTGAGACAAGGGGAAAATTCAGTACTGGAGGGGGAAATACAGCTCGAGTCAGGTATGCAGGAAGTAATGGTCCCATTGATGCTAGATTGCCTGCGGATAATTCTCACGGTAGATTTGGCGAAGCAGATAGGAATCAGCAGTTCTCTGAAAAACTGGAGAATCAGTCAGGTTATATTGATATTATCTATATTGACAATGGCAATCGTAACAAAAATGAGAAAAATAGAATGAGACATTTCGGAAACTTGAGGATTGACAGTACCACTGACACGACTGTTTACAGTTTTGAAGATGCTGTGAGGGTGAATATCAATTAATTACACTCAATTAAAATAGTAATAATAATCGCAATAATTGGTATTGATTTTGCATTTGTTAGGATCTTGAGAGTCACAGAAGATTCATAATTCACAATTTCACTGAAGGTGAGTCATTACTGAAGAAAAACGATAGGATCAGACTGGCGGAGGAGACGAGGAGAATCGAGGATTTAATCAGATACGCTAAGAGTCATCAAGAGAAGGAAGGATACTTTGAGGAGGGAATGGAGATAATTTATCACTATCCTAGTGATGATAATAGTAATTCCAGTGCAATCGAAAGTAGAAGATTGAAACGAGCACACGAGGAAAAGGATGATGAAGTAAGCTGTGTAATTTTGGGTAATTAGGTTACCGTGTGTTTACATTAACTTTATATCGCAGGATGACATTATACACCTAGTGGTGAAGATACGAGTGCCCTCAATGCGAGTTAAGGCAGGATATGTTCTGATGGGCAAAGTGGAGGAACAAGTTTTACGAGGAGATGGACGACTTGATGGAAACTTTAGTGAGTTAACCGTATTTTTTCTACCTCTCTCTACCTGGAAATTCTATTTTTAGGTATTGTTTTGTTATAATGGAGGAGAGGTATTGAATTTTTATCCGTTTCTTTTATTAGCTGAGCTCATTGGTGATTTTACTGTTGAGCTGAAGAAGACCGGGGATAATAGAATGATTGTGAGAACTGCTAGAGCCAAACTTGAAGCTGCTCATCAAAATGTTAATCTTGAAGGGATGGATGAAAAAGGACCTGTTGAGGAAATCTTGAAACAAGGTATTTTCTCGTGAGAAATTAACCATAAAATTTTAGATGCATTAATCCCATATCACGGTAAGTTTTTGGTAAATACGGTGAGAAAAAACATATTTTTGTCAAGGAATTTACTTAATTTAGAAAGAACAATTCGATATCGTGCCTACTGAGACGAACATTTCAAGAACAAAATAAATAGTAATCCGTTCCACGATTCATGAGATATTCAATATTCCAATACATTCACACCAAAGGTGTAATATCTCTGGAATGGCTTGGTCAATTGCGCCCACCCACAACACGAACCTTTTATCGCATGAGAGCTACAAGTGTACAAAATTTCAACTTAGTATGTTTATTTTTTGATAATTTATCGCGTTCACAAAGTTTTTGATGATAATACCGAAAAACGGCGATATCTCGAAATTTCGTGTAAACAAATGTAAATATTTTGAGTGGCATGGATAGGGCCCACTGAAAACGAGTAATTTGAAACCAAAAAAATTGAAATAGGTCCAGTCTTTTTTAAAATACTGAGGCCAAACAAAATTTAAGAAAGTTGCTATATTTTGGCAACTACTGGAGCGATTGAGCTGAAACGGTGCGACCAAGTAAACGTACATCATGTAGCTATCATAAGTTCGGCGTTCACATTTTTGGCGACAAATTTTATCGTATTTATGTTAAATTTTCTAAAAAGGACTCTTCAAAATTTCGCATTTCCAACACAACCACACAGACATAACGCAAAAACATAATTTTTTCACGTTCCATAATATTCTGAACAACTGTCAATTGAAATTAGGTGATCAAAAAATTGAGCAAATACAATATCCTAAGCTTCCATTCGGAAGCAAAGAGAAACTTTTTTTCCTAGTGGGGACTATTTAACGAAGATATCTTTTGGATTCTTTTTTCTTTAGAATTCTATACTTGTAATTTTCAATCCAGTTTTATTTTACCCTATAGGCTTGATTTTAAACTGTTAGGAAGCATTTAAAACATCGAATTAAAAAATTGTAAAGTTTATCTTTGAACACAGTTTCATGGAAAGATCGAAGAATTTCCATTTTTTAAATTAAAAATAAAATATTCAAATAATTATTGTATTAATTATGAAGTGTCAACGCAAATTTAAGAAATCTGTCGATCAATTTCAATTGAAAGACATCGAAGTTGCAATTACTGGTATTTAAGTGATTCATTTACTTCACCAACAAATGGCGAGATATCGCTAATTGATCGATATTTACCAGTAATACCACTAATTATAATTAAAAGTACTCACTCAATATATACCATCGAATAATTGAATAATTGAAAGTACTTTTCCACAAATTTCTAAACCCTCCAACAGGTATAATTTTATTGCTTAATCGGTACATTATCGTAATAAACGCTATTTGCATCCCAAACTAAAAAAGGAAATATTTATAAATATCTTTTTGACACAGTAAATGAAAGGTTCCAAAAGGTAATTAGGAAAGTGGCACTATCTTCCCTAGATTATAGAATATTTTACAATGAAGGAAGTGATTTGAGAGTAAAATTGTTGAATTATTGATCATACACTATATGTGTCACACAACGTACCAGTTACGTAACCATTATGGAATCAACGAGACGCGTTTGAGATTATGACACATGCTATTATGATATCTCGTTTTGTAAATCCGAAGCAATCATTATTTGTTGATTACAGCATGTCCAATTGATTTTGCAGGTTTAGTAGCCGCCGAAGCAGTGGCAGCAATGTTGGCTGATGACTTGGCTACCAAAGCACTTACCGATAAAACTTCAGACTCCATTATTTATAAATTGTACAGAGAATTACCGGAATAATGTCACGCATTAATGTCACTTCATGTCTTATTTCTCCATTCAGTCAATTCAATTATTTATTTGCTTATAAACCCAGCAATTCGAATGAATTTTATAATTTTTCGAAAATAATTTACATACTTACTAATAGTTTTTTTCATTATAACTAATGAGGAGAGTGGAAACATGAAATAATAAAAAGATCTTTGGATTGATGTGGTATTCAAATTATTTATGAAGTTCATTGACTTCTAAAATATTTCAAATACCTTCAACGAAAGTATCAATACATAAATTCAATTCGTCGATTATCGAAGGCAACTGGTTTGCAGTGCAACATGTGACTGCCCATTTTCTATTATAAAATGTTTGAATATAAAATGTAAAACGATTATTAGACTAACTGTGACCCGTTCCGGTACGACGTGCGAAAATTATGTAAGAAGACAGGAAAGGCATTATGACAGCAACGGGACGAGTTCACTTATGACAGGAACTTCTATTCTTTTTTTCGCCATCGAGATTACTATTGATTAATTGTTGAATTATGCAATGGCTTTGCTCTGATGATTCCATTCTGTTTGATTCTATTCCTTTTGCTACTTGCCAAAAATAAATGGAAAATAACGAGTATTGTTGTCAAATCAGGGACAATTTTTTGTTGTTCGAGAACTTGAAGAGAATGAGCGTTACTACCTGTGACATTGAAAAGATCATGAAAATTTCCGGCTGAATAAATAGGCGAAAAACGACTAATTTCGGTTCAGTTCTTTTAGACACGGATGAAGAACTTCCATTTAATCTAATTAATTTTTTTTACTGTTTGGATATTGTCGGACCTAAGAAGGCCGTTTTTTTCATTATTGAAGATAAGTTCCACCTTTACCAATTACACTAGTCAGAATTGACAATCTTAGAGAATTCATATTAGGAGAAAAGTTAGCGCGCGACTCGCGTGACTCCTTGCTCATGAGGCGACAGATGAGAATAATAATTAAGTGACCCATTTAAAAAAAAATCTTGTGGAAGATTTTGTGCATGTATAATGTAATTTTTTATGTAGGGAAGTGCCGAGGTATAATGCGTATTTCAAGGGCAGTTTTAATTTTAAAAGTGACTACGAAAATTGGATATTGAACATGATGAAATTTTAAATGCGTTGAACATTTCGGAAACTAGTTATTTGAATTTTAATTATTTCAACTGATTAGTAGAATTTCATTGAGAATTCAAGGATATTATCTTGTAAAATGAGACGTGAAGTAAAATTGAGCATAGAATAAAATGGAGCATCGAAAAAGCCAGACGTGCAACTTTCAACATTTTTTTAAAACTAAAACGATGAATAAATCTAGCAGAAAATTACACCCTCAAGTCTCCACGGAGTTCTCTCAAAATCATGTGTAGTTTGCATTAATCTTTCCCCTCACCGTAAAAAGGCAACTTTAATTTGAAGTTTAGAACTTAAGAATGACCCTTCATTTTTAGGATTATTTTTTTATGACCTCATAGTCGTTGGAAGTCTAAGTTAACAATTTTTCAAGAGTGAAGTATAACGAATTTTATGATTTTTACTTTATTTTTTGAAATGCCATTCCTCCCGGATCTCCCCTTTTTTATAAACGTATTGTAATAAAATAATATATAATTAAGATTATGATCATAATCTAAACGAAATAGATGGCTATAACAAATTTTGTTTCATGAGTTCTTTCTTAGAGAAGGAAATATTATATTTCAAATAAGAATAAAAGAGAGAAAGAGAAGGTGATTCCAAATTACTGTTACTTAAAAGGGATAAAAAATTAATGTGTTCTTCATTCAAACGATTCTGTTCAAAGACAATTACTATGTATCAAATTTCCCTTTCATATGCATTAATTATGTAAAATTCCGTATTAGGTGATTCATCTCAAATGTGGAGACTTATAGATTCAGAGAGATAAAAATGTTTCGCCTCTCCCTTTGATACAAAAATATCACATTCTCACCAGTCACATTGTGAGAAAAAAGGCGAAGAAAATCATACTGACGAGAATACACAGAATGTACGCGATTCACCTGACGACTTTCGACTTCAGGTTTCATGGCGACTACGGGTCGGTTGACGCCCTCACCGATGCAGACAGTGAAGGATAAAATGAAATCAATCGAGTGGAAAAATGTGAATGAAAAAATGATAGATCCAGTGAAATACAGCGATAGACAATAAGTCATTTTTCTCAAGATTTTTCTATCCCGCTGTTTTCTCGTGGGAAACTAAATCGATTTTTTAGTTCAGACTTTTTTTAGGCGTTAAAAGCAAAAAAAGTCTCCCATGTTCTTTCATTTTAAGTGTTGATATCACCTAAAATTTCCTATAACAAAAGCAATTTATCTCTTTAAATCTCTAACACTACCCTAATACTGTCCGAAAATTAGACACATAAGATTTTATATAAAAAAATTGACTTTAATTTCATCTCATTATTTTAAATAATGCTATTTTTTAGAAACCACTTGTAATTTATTGGTGACAATTGAGATGAACAAAATTGATTTTCATTGTTTGAGATTTGAGTTAGAACGACGATTTGAATCTGTTGTCGTTTTGCTTTTTAAATAAATTTCATGGTATCATTAAGAATTAATTGAAATATTTTAGAATTACATAAATGACAGTTAATAGATTGTTCTGGTAAGGAGTGGACTTACCACGTAAAACATTAGCAATTTGGAAAAGTAATTTTCTTAATTTAACTGATTCATTTGGAGTATATTTATTCGTACTCCATCAAAATGACATCCAACAGAGTATATTAAATCGTCATTGCAAAGTCTTCAATTACTATTTTCAAATAATCAGAGAATCATAAAAGTCTCAATTTAAAAACATGACAGCCGCATTTCTGACTCTAAAACTATTTATTCGGACATAAAAACATGAATTCCTCATTTTCTAAGAAAACAAAGTAAAATCTGAAACGACAATAATTACACTGATGACAAAGGCGGATTTTTTTCATTTGGAGGACAAACCCAAAAAGATTTATATCTCCGCATATAATTGTCGGAGAGTATACGACAGGAATATCCATTAGACTGTCGTCAATGACGAGTAACACGATGACACCAATGACAATATCCGTAATAAAACCGGACAATTACAATAACACATACAACGTATCCAAGTATCTGTGCATTTTGTTTCTACCAGGTCTTTGTACGGCCATGACTGAGTTAAAAAGCCGAGCATTCTACCGTGATAAATTCCCTATTACATCTATATAAGTATAAAAAAAAGAGGGTGGGGTAAAAGCACATATTCAAACACAACTTTGGAATGGAGAAAGTTAGCGCTTACTTTATATATACACCAGCTAGTGAACAACGCTCACATTTTCAATGAAACCGGCCCATTGGTAATTGCTATTACCCCGTGTACAGAGTGTCCACAAACACCAGTGAATTGATCAAATCAAACTCTATTTACTTTTTTCTTTTCTATTCTATTCTATTTTTTATCGATTACTAGTCAGTCAAAAATGATTTGTTACATTGCATTTATCTTGCTACTCACGTGGAGTGGAAAAATCTCGGGAGAATTGCGTAAGTAAATGAATAAATTGAAAATCAAGTTTTCCATTTTTGGTAGACGATTGCCGTAGTGGAGAAATCGACTGGAAAAAGTAAAATCATTTGTTAATTGTGAATTGAAAAATGAATGGTTTTAGTGAAAACGGTTGAAAGAGAACTTAGTGGAAAATCCCATTGCTTGACAGGAAATTCCTTTTTAATTTACATTTGTTAATGAAATATTGACTCCAGAAGTTGTCGATTTTTTATTTTGTTGCAATTCGACTGATGATTATTGAAAAGAGATTATTATGTCTCCAAGCACGTCCTGAATCACTTTCTACTGGAGCAAACTTTCCAATGTCCCTCTGTTCTTTTTTGCCCGTCAGCACAAAAAAGGTGTGATACATAATCATTAGAAAATAAGTTAGGATATAAAGTCAATTGAATATTCAGCACCTGGTGTGACTCCCTGTCCACGTGCCAGTCCTCCAGCTGAATATGACAAGTGTGTGCTGCAACAACTGGAACTAGTTACACCGCAATTAGTCAAAGGAATACCTTCCCTGAAAATACCACCAATGGATCCTCTGATTCTACCTTCCCTCGTAATTGATCGCAGTCTGGATGCCATCAAGATTAAGGCTAATTTGACTGGTGTGAGAGTTTATGGCGGAACTAACTACAAAATTGATGAGCTACATGCCCAACCGGATGATTTGACAGTTGCTTTGAAAGCTCTATTCCCGTACATTCATGTGAAAGGAAATTATGATGTCAAGGGAAGTCTTCTGCTGCTCACACTCAATGGGAATGGAGGGTTCAGAGGAAATTTCAGTAAGCCTTAACTAAATTAATAATTCAAAATGATGTTTCATTGTTTTAAGAATATTTAGCAATTTTTTAAGAATATCATTTTTTCCTATTCGATAAAAACTCTTTGATATGAAAAAATGATTACATCGTCCATGAAAGTTTGAAAATTCAATGAACATTTCAGTGACAGTTTCAATTTCAAATCTAATTATGAGAATCGGACATCAAACTCGATTAAATTTCTAATGCCTTGGACATTCTGAAAAAAGTTATTCAATTTTTAATTATTTCAACTCATTAGGAAAATTTCATTAAATATTCAAGGAAATTACCTAATTTTTCAGGAAAAAATGGAAATAACTTTCACGCAAATTTACGGTTTTGAAATATTTAAAGAGTAATTTGTTACAAAAATGATAAAATTGATAAAATGATCTTATTGGCCCCATTGTCGAGACGATTCAATTTTTTTCTATTTCAATTTCTATAATGCTTTCAAAAATGCTAGAACTACTAAACAATAACTAAAAAATCAATTACTGTACATGCCGATTTTTACCAAAAAAATATACCTTTTTCGTGTCCAAATCCTGGAATTTCAACGAAAATTGGATTGAAGAAGTCGATTGATTTTTTCTTCTCACAAATATCCTTCGATCACTTAAAGTAACCAATTCCCAATTGCTTGTTCCACTTCAGCAAACACTCAAGTACGAGTTCAAGCCCAAGGACGAGAAGTAACTGATAAGAACGGAATTCGAAGAGTTCAAGTGCACAAATTGTTGACGAAAATTCGGGTTGGAGATGGAAATATCCAACTAAAGGCACAGCCCGCCTACAAAGCCGCAGCCGATGCAGCAGCAACTTTCTTCAATGGAAGTCCCCGTTTAGTGCTCGATATAATAAATCCAATAATTGAGGAAACAGCTACATCGATAGCTAAAGCATTAGCTGCCCGAGCCTTTGGAGCTCTAACCAAAGATGAGATCTTGCCTTGAGACATGGTTGTTAGTTTTTCACAACAAAAAGACAACAAAGACAAAATTATACCAATGAAATTGTAATTGGTTAATTGAGCAATTGATTGATTCAATGTAAATTTAATCGAGGGGAAACAATTCGTTGTATGTGAATGATCTAGTAACTTTGTTGGCCACTTCAGTAAATAAATCAGAGAGAGCTTCTTCCAAAACTGGTCGCAATTCGTCGATTAATAAATTGCTGTTTGCATTCAGCACTTGGTTACTTGCTGGACCTGAAATCGTCATGAATTCCTTAATTATTGCTTGATAATTGTAATTACTGTCGGTATTAATTAATTTAGCATTCAAGTACTTGAAGGTAACCAATCGATTCCATTAATCCATTACAATTTTTATAACTTCATTTTTTTATCTTTCATCAGACGATTGCTTTTAGAGAGAAGTCATATCTGGGGTGGAGAGAATTTTAAACAAAAATGTATTTTCATGTTATTAAATTGATATTTTAATAAAACGTAGAATCGACTGAAAATAAGAGTTTTCGGTACTTCAATACTGAATCATTAGTTTCATTATTCAGCACATTAATTCAAGTCGTTATGTCTCCATGACTTATGGTTTTTTATACCAAAAAATAAATGCTAGTACTACATGCTTATATAATAAATGCCCCTTTTCAGGAAAAATCGTTGCGTAGCCAACCGATGGCTCTTGAATATTTTTAATAAGGAGATTGACTTGTTCAGTTGGTCGATCGTTGATTGATCATTAGTTGATCGATAATCAATGATCGACTGGCATTCATCGCAGAATAAAACGCTCTTCCACATTAAAAAATTCAATAGAAGCCCTAACAAGTTCATTGGAGAATTCTATTGGAATTCTATTGAAAGAAGCTTTTACCCAAAATTTTGTATTGAGTATTCCATAGGAAAAATGTAATAGACTTTGAATTTCTGTACGAAATCAATAAAGAATCGATAAATCAAATGATGAGTCTATTTATATTCGGTGAGATAATCATTGATATCTCCAAAAGTAAGAGAGATAGCCAATTTCTCAAACAACCTATTTTGCAGTTTTCATTTGGCTCGACAAAAAGATAATTACAAAAATGTTACTATCTACTTTAAATTTCTAGATTTTCATTCAAGAGATGATTGTAAACAGGAATTCAAAATCTGTTAAATTTTACCTATTGAAAATTCAATAGAATCAGCGCAAAAAACAAATGGAATTTTTCAAGAAAATTTTAATTCAAATACCGATATACTGTATATGTTTCTTAGAGAATTGCGATAGAATTTCCTAGCAAATGAGTCTTCGGAGTTATGATCTTTAAGTTGCAATGCTTGGCATGTGCTTTATTTGTAAACCGCACTTGTCCAACAACTAATGATTTAACATCACCATTCGCTCAAATCGGTCACGAACATAAATTGTAAAAAAAATTATCTTAATTACAAGGTTTATGATAGTGGAATTAATAGTTACGGCACTAAACTTCAGCGTTCAGGATTCAACTTTTTTTTAACCGATGGTGGAAGGAAAAATTCTTACCTAATATTGGATCACCTCCGAATAGATTATTGAGATATATGTGGGCTGTGCCTATTTTTATATTCAGCTTCATTTTTTCGAAGTTAAGGTAGATGTTGCCATCTCGCTTGATTTTATTTGCTCGCAGGATTACGCTTGACTCATAACCAGCTGGAAATGAGAGAATCAATTGGTGTTACAACATTTACACGGGATGTTGACTATTTCTTAATGGATAAGTATCGGTGTTCAAGGGGCACTAACTTGGAACCACTTGCTCAAGAAGTTGGTGAAGACATCAATCATTTTTTTAACAACAAAATATTTTCATTTTTAAATAAATTATAGGATAGGGACTGGACTAATTTATATCAATGTCTTCACATCCGAAATCATTATTTGAGATGTTTAATAACGTTGAATGTTGTGTGAATTGCGTCATTTTCATTGATGATTATTTCGCGTGCAAAAATTGATGGATTGATCTTTCAACAAATCAGAGTGCAAAATCAGAGTTTGATGATAAATGACTGAGTCAATTTTATTTTATTTCAGATATTTCACAGTAACTCTGAAGCTCTGTCTATTAAAAAATCCCTCCCCCCTGGCGCCCGTAATTTTTAAACCGACAAAATTAGACGCTCCCGTTCAAAGGATTAAGGGTTAAGGGAATCCGAAAATGTGAGTGCCAATTCGATTAGTCTCAAAATAATTTCCTCTTTTAATTGATTAATAATAATCACTGGACAAAGGCAACCAATTGACAAAAAAATGAATTATATTAATAAAAGATTAGATGGAACTCACTGAAATTTCCATGAAGATCACCACTACCAGCGAGCCTCAACAACAGCAGTCTAGCATCAATCTGATATTTTCCACTGAATTTCAGTACATCAAAACTTACAGTAAATGTAAACTCCACATCTTCAGTGTTAGCTTTCAAGTCACGCACTTTGAATTTCGACGGGCCTCGTACCTGAATTTACATTGAAAAAATGACTCAACCCATCAACCAAACAGAAAAATTCCAAAAATGAAAAAATAATGAAAGATTTTATCAAAGCATTTTGAGAGGTTCTTCCTTCCGAAACAGGTTGGTGATTCAAATAAATTAGAGAACGTTTGGACTGAAATAAATATTCATAAAAGCAAGTTGCATTATTTGTTACCTGAATGTTAGTGAGATTAACATCCAATCGGGCACCTTGAGGGCCTCGTAGCAGTCGAATTTGCTTCAAGGTGAGTGGCTCGATAGCTGGTGCCTCCAATTCAGGTATTCCTGCTGCCAATTTCTCCCGCAGATCATCAATGGTCTTTGTAATGCAGTTATTTATGTCAGGATCGCGTCGCTTACATGCTTTAATGTATGGAGCTATAAACCAAAGTGTTTCATTAAATTCCTTGCCATCTTTGTCCTTCAAATTTCTTTAATGAAATAGTAAAGACGAATTTAGGCGATAAATCGGTTGAAGTCAACTTTCATTAGCTTTCAGTGATTGATTGTGGAAATATGGAAATTTAAGGCAGATAGCCAAATTTTGGTCAGGATATTCATTGTAGAGCTAATTAAGAATTATCGAATAGCTTATCAAATAAACTGTGTTATCGAGATATTCCTGCTAAGGTGACTGACGAAATAAGTCGACTTATTTATCGGTTTACAAATTCGCTTCTAAATTATTTGATGAATATCTGATTACTAAGCGTGTCAAGTCTATTTCAAGAGGAAATAATAGAATATTTTCCCTATGAAATATTTGTACCGTTGTAGAAATCGGTTTGACAAACATGACTATCATTTTTTCCATAAAAAAATGTTTCCAGCAATAAATTGGATCGGCTAATTCTTTAGAAAATTATTCGGTTACGAAATAAATGAGTAAGTTATGATGATTTAATTATCCTTGAAGTAAATGTGTTTTTTTTACTGAAAACTCTAAATTTTAGCCTCTCAGAGATATCCATTCGCATTAATTTTTCTACTTCATTAATAAACTCATGATTCACAATTGGATACTGACGTAATACAGCGATTGCGGGGCTCACCATCGCCATCAGGAAACTGAAAATAAACAAATAATAACAATAAATCACGGAGGAAAACCCTGCAGAAATCCATGTTAGCGTTGTAGAAAAAAAACAGAAACTATTAACAGTTAGCAGCACAGATTAAATGGAATAATTCATATAAAACTCAAGTTTTGCCTGCAAATATGAGAATATATCACGCTTTAATGCACTGAGATGACACAGGTATAATAATTGTTGATAGAAAATAAAGGCAATGCATGGTGGATGTCACGATCACAGATTCATTGACTTTCACAATGTGTGCGTGTTTGTGGAATTCATTTGACCCTCAGCATTTTAATTGAACGACACGTCTCGAGTCCCTGAAGCACCGGCACATAATAGCCGAGGTCAATCCAAGATGAAATTATAAATCGCCAAAACCATCAATCAATTGATTTATAAACCATTTTTTTTTCAGCTAATGACTCTTTCCAAATGGAAAACAATAGAAATATTTCAATTTTTCATCAGCTCAATGAATACTCTATCAATTCAACGTACAATAATGAACTGACGATCATGATAGCAATCCGTTCGTCACGATGGAATAGACACGTTTGAGCCAAGAAACCACGAATATAAAATAGTTTTCGAAAAAGATCAATTGCAACTAGTTGTTGCAGAAGTAGATTACCTCGTGCCACTTGACGGCCATTGGTCGAAAAGGTAAATACAGTCAATAATCTTGTGGGTTTATAAACCCGGGTGGATATTGAAGAAAATGTCCAAGAGAATGTTGGTTTTTTATGACTTTTCTTCATCTTTGTCCTCATGTCTTGCCTCGCTTTCTACTCGATTCTGTGGATCATTTCTAAACAACAAATGAATTTATGCTAATGATTGATAATTCACGTGTTGAAGTTTCCTTCCGTTACTTCGCTGATTATGGAATCAAATCAACGAGAGAATATTTGTGGTGTAATTTGAATAGAAATTTGACAGATCAATAGTTGTGGGAAATTTCTTAAATGCAATGGGAAAAGGCTTTCCATGAATTTTTGCAATCAGTCACAAGCGAAAGTACACAAACTATTGCAATAATGCACGGGTCTTAAACTCACTAGCTGGAGTTCAGTATTCCGCCGATCCGTAACAGAATATTGCCGAACAGGTGGATATTTGCAATCACGCGTCATTAACGTACATTTCAAACTGACACGTAAATGTATAATTAGACATTGGTAGCAGGACTTAATAAAATTTCGCCATTTGAATTTTAGTAATTAACTAGAGAATAAATTGGTGTGACGAAATGATAATTTAGCCTTCACAGAATGTTGATTGTAATGCATCTCCTTTGGGATGAAAGAAATGAAAATGGCTGTCCTTCTGCAAATTTTTTTCATTTTTGAAACTTCCTGTTATAAAGAGATTCCGGGAATTTTCGTTTGATAAATCGTGGGGAGCACGTGTTATATGCAAAACATCTGTTTATCATAAGATGATGGCTAAGGTGGACCACTTTAACATTGGCATTTTTTTCGAGGTTCAGGTTTTATTTTCAGGAAGATATAAAAGGAAGACAGGGGGACTCTTACCTTCATTGAGGTATCGAGGTTGTCCGGCAGCTTTGGTAGTTTAAAAATTCAGGAGAATATTCGGTCATCATGGCTAGAGTGTTCTCAGTGGTTTTTTGCATTGCCCTCATTGTCGCTATATGTTCTGCGCAAGTTCGTAAGTAAACTCTTAAGAAAAAACAAGTGGGATACTGCTTTCCATCTTTCTACCCCCGGGAAAAATAGAAGATCAGAAAGTAGCAGAAATGTATGAGACCTATAAATTGTATTAAATAAAATTTCTCATAAATGGGATATATGTTGTCACGATGTATGAGAAAATTTATGATAAAATATACGTGATTTATATCACTTTGATATTTTTTTTATGCTACACTGATAAAGCAAATTTCTGCCTTGAAAAAGTAAAAATATTTACTAGACTTAAATGAAAGTATGAAACTCAATTGAGCGTTTATTATAAAATACAATTACTTGAAGCCTACCTATTTGCGATCCCACAAGGACTCGCTGTTGAAATGCTTGCAATATATAAATTGTTATTTACCATGACTATATGTTATATATTAGCAAAGGTTCGACGAATTCTTTCATACAATAATGGCATTTTTTTAAACGCTGTGTGTATTTGTCAGAAATACTCCAATTAATATGACATTTTGAAGATTATCCAAGAATTTTTTTGTTTATACTAAAAAAATTAATCCTTAATCCATGGATATTTGTTCAAATTGCATATTATATACGTCGATACTTTACAATCTTATTATATTTAAGGACAATGCCATTGACATTGGGCATCAGTAGTTTTCTCAGAGCAGATTTTTTATTCTATATCATATATAACTGCCGGATACAATCCATGTACAATAATCTACCAATTTGCGTGTATTTTTATGCTTTTGCCCATATATTTTTCATCTGTTATATTTCCACGGTGGCAACTGGTTTGACGTAATTGGAGCGATCTAAACAAATCATATTGGTGTCACCAATTGCCTCCGTTTTTCAATCAAGTCAGAGGAATAATTTAATACTTTAACTAATGATTATTATTTTTTTTAATATGAATGCATGAAGCCTGTCGCGTTATAAAAGAGAAGAATCCATACTTTGTGTGGATTTTGAATATTGGATGAACATGGGGCCAACATTGCGCCAAAGTTGAACACGAGTTCGAGATCTACCGAAATAACATGCAAATTAATATTCAACTATATACTTAGTGCCATATACTATGTACTTAGTTCTTAGTGCCATAAAGATCTGAAAATGTGAGATTACTTGACCATTCGAAAAGTCAATTTATTTATGATTGACTAATTCTACAAAAATTTCACTTTGTCGTTGTCAAGAAATTCAAGTCTTTTGAATTGAAATTCTTCTGAAAATCCTTTAGTAATGGATTGTTCTTATTTATCTTCATATTTTGTAGCTACATATCTGAAAATATGTGGGAGAAGAGATCCAGATCTCAGCAATTGCGTGAAGACCAGCGTGGAAGGACTTCGGAATAAACTCCGCAGTGGCATAAGAGAACTTCAAATACCTTCAATGGAACCTCTGGAGATCGATGAAGATATCATAATTGCAAATTCTCAGGCTTTCCGAGCTCACACTCGAAATACAAAAGTCTTTGGCGTATCTGATTTTAATCTGACGAGAGTCAATGTCAATTTGAATACCATGTCATTGGAAATTGATACTGCTTTCGACAAACTCAAATTCCAAAGTGATTATGATATCACGGCTCGAATTCTTGTGCCAATCAGCGCGGGAGGACCAATTGAAATTGATGCAGGTGTGATCGCTATCTAAACATTTAATTTTCTCTATAATTAATTTAGAGCCTTCTACTTATTGTTTCAAATGGTAATTAATGAGGCTTTAAGTATAGGTATATGCAGTTCATTAATCCATACATTGCAAGGACTATTCACGAATTATTATGCGTAATCACATTATAAATTCGTAAAAATTTACATGACACTCGTCTAAGATCTCAGTTTTGTGATATTTATTTTAAATATCTTGGAATCTAACAGACGTCGATTTTTCTTTCAAGACCTATATTCTAGAGTGGAATTATAGTTACGAAAAATTCGCTGTCTTTTAGCTTTACACATATTCCTCGGATTCTATCCTATTAACTAAATGAATTTCATGGCCTCAAACTTCTCGATGTTGAATTGGAATAAGATAATTAAATTACTAATTACAATAATTTTTATTACAACAATGAGCTTTAGTGTGCATTTTTCCTGATAATTAACCGTTAAATATTGTATCAACAGAGGATATCACCGCCAAACTCGTCTTGAAATTCAAATACCTCCAGCATAAGGGGAAGCAGCACATATTCTTCACTTCTACAACTTGTAAACTCACAATTCGTGATTACGAATCACACTTCATCCCCAGAGCCGGCCAAGACCAAACATTTTCCGAAGCCATCAACAATGTATTGAACTCCAGCAAATCAGAAATAATTGCTAGCATAAGCACGGGTTTAGAACGAGGTGTTGCCAAAAAAATCATCCACGTGGCTAATCTAATGACTGCGAGATTCGATTTCGATGAATTACTTCCAGATCGCGAATAAATATATAAACGTGGCAAACTGACTGATTATAGTCTGAAAATGACAGATTTATTAAAAATATTTTTCATTGTTTTCTTGAAATATCCATTCGTGTTGAGGTAATTAAAGATAATGGGAAAATTACAATGCGTGAATTATTCATTAGAAAGGTAAAGGTAATGAGTTTCTGTCATTGAAACTGGAATAGTCATTTCTATGTGTAAATTGACATTGATTGTAATCATCTCTCTTCTTGCTGAACAATATACTCACGATCAGTTATTAGTGGTGATAATTAAATGTTAAAGAATCCATTAACTACTGGTGTATCCTGTTTATTGATTTTTTTATGCTCCAATAAGACATTGAGCAAAAAAAAAAATCCGTGGAAAATTATACATCGAGTTGTGTATAAAATGTTCCGAGTTCATCCCGATTGCCTTCAGTTCGCCATTAGTCTCGTCCCTGTGTAGTTGGAGGACTATAGATTTAATATTACTTTTTCATTTCAGAAAATGAACTACTTCCTATTGCTCTGTTTAAATGTTGCGCTGCTTGGTTCAGTGTTATGTGCTGAAGTTCGTGAGTAATTTCCTCAATTACTACTCAAGAACAAATATAATATCATCGATTAAACCCTGGATAATTGGAGATAAATTGAACAACTTTATGCAGATCATTCTGCAATCATAGAAGAGTCGACAGATTTTTTAGTTCGGGATATTGCTCCTTTTTCTTACATTTATTGCCTATATGTGGAACACAAAAAAAAAATCTACAAAAATTTCAGAATCCAAATCCCAATTCTGTCATGAATTCATTCGTCATTCTATTGTCGTACCTTATTCGAGGGTACAAAAAATTGCATATGTTTCAATTTACAGAAAATTTGTTGGATAAACCATGGAAGTAATTGTTTCTAATAATTGTCTATCAATCGTTGATCCCAAAACATCTTGAAAATGTTAAAAATTCGAACAATGACTTCTCTACATTTTAAACGTTGTATTGAGAATTGAAAACGGATTTAATTGCCATTCATTTTCTATTTTTTACGCCCCATTTTTTCAATATCCAGGTAGACTGTAAAATAGAATTCAACCTCACATAATTAAAAATTGAAATAATATTACGTCTGACATTTATAGGAATTTTAAATAGTATAATAAATTACAAAAGGAAATATTTTCTATTAATCTATTTTCTTTTAATTTTTTAATTCTGAAATTCCTTTTACATAGATTGAAGAACTATCGATGCATGAAAAGAAAATATAGAAATAATTTGTATCACTGGAAACGGAATATTCTTCATGTTTTTTCTTATCCTATAAATTTACTAATAACTTAGCAATATAGGCTTTCAAATTTTCAATTAAAATGATTGGAGGAATCTACAAAATAGATGTAAATAACCAAGTGTCGTCCTCTTTAAATTCAGTTAAATGAGCATTTCGTTATTTATTAAAAATAAATAAATAAGATTTCGATCAAGTCTTGATTAATCTTCGGCTAAGTCTCAACTAAGCCCTGACTAAACTCTGACAAAATCCGAGTCAACTCCAACTCCAACACCAGCTTGGGTTAAACATTGATTAAGCTCCAAGTAAATGCTGACTAAACCTTAACTAAAACCCCGATTAACCTTTCATTAAATTCTTACGGAGTTCCAATTAGAAATCTCAAGTACACTTTGACGAAATTACAAGTAAATCTCGACAGAACAGGACTGGACTCCAACTAATCCATGATTAATGGATTTGAATCCTGATAAAAATTATCAATTAATTTAATTCGTGACTGTGCAAGTATAAATGTCGATTATCAATTTGTTGCCAATAATTGAAGGTCGATTGAATCCTAACTAAACTCAGACTAGACTCCACTGAAGTCCCGGCCATCAATGAATATCTGGGAAATAAACAACACAATCATCCGGCACTCAAAATTAGTTGGCATAACTAAGAATAACTAATATTTGAAGCTACAATTGACAAAAATTGAATAATTATTTTTTTATGTATATAAAGGTATACATTTACTTACTAACAGTGGATGTATCTATAACAGCATCACAATCAAATTGTTGATCAAAAATTAGTCATCCCGAGCGAAAAAATCGAAAATGTCTGATTTGATGAATACATAGTTTGCATTCAGACCGAAAAGATGAAGACGTCTGATTTTGCTCCGCTCTCCCTTATCTCTTGTACTTAGTCTTCGTGATAATAATTCTATAAAATCTGCAGCTTCTTATGTCAAGATTTGTGGTCGTAAAAATCCAAAGCTAAATGAGTGCATCAAGGATGCGGTTGAGTCTCTTCGCCAGAAACTTCGTGAGGGCATGCCAGAATTTGGAATTCAATCAACGGAGCCATTGGAGATTCCAGCAGGACTCAATATCGCTGAGTCCGATGCCTTTCGTGCTACAGCGAGAAATGTTAAAATTTACGGTATCTCCGACTTCGAGATAAAAAAGCATAACCTCAACCTTGAAAAAAAGACTTTGGATATTGACCTATATTTTAAGAAACTCCGATTCGAAGGTGACTACAACGTGAGTGCCAGGATCATCGTGCCAATTAATGCTATTGGACCCATTGAAATTAATGCTAGTGAGATTAAATTTAATTTATTGAGATAACTAAATTTTATAGAAAAATCTAACGAATTTCCATTAGCTTCATCAGTTTCATGAGAAAAAAAAATCCATTAGATTTATATTGAACTTCCCTGTTAATTTTTAGCCGATTCTCTTAAAATGGTCAATCGATCATTATAAATAAAAATAATTGATAGATTCCATTTTTTTCATGTAACTTATTCTCTGCGGATATTTTCACTAGAATTCCCTTGGCGTTAATTTCCTATGATTTTTCATTCTGTTTTTTGTCTTCTCATAAAAAAAACACATTAAAAAATTTAACAAGTTAGTAATACGCATATAATTTTATATAAATATTAAATTCCATTACCATTTTTTATTTACCTTTTCTTACCTAACATTTCGACGGGCAAAATTGAAGAGAGTTTCATTTTGATCTTATAGTAAATTCGCTAGTTTTTTACTTAAAATTTTTCCTTCCGCACGGGAGAATTTTCATGATGAAAATTAATTTTCTCTATGAATTTGATTTTTTGCAGAGGATATTTCGGCGGAAGCTTCGCTGACATTCGATTTCAAGAACAGAAAAGACGGCCCACACATGATGTTTACATCGATGAAGTGCAAAATTATAATCGGCGATTATGAATCTCGTTACATCCCTACAGAAGGCCAAGACCCAACACTGGCTGAAGCTGTTAATAGTGTTCTGAATGGTAGCAAGAAAGAGATTATCAGCAGTATCACTTCCAGTGTTGAGAAGGCAACTTCAGAAAAAGTCCTTGATACAGCAAATAAAGTCAGTAAAGCGTTTACATTCGACCAGCTGATGCCAGACAGGGAGTAACACACATTTCTGTATAAAGTCTTCAATAGTCCCTCTGTAAAGCCTCGATCTTAAACATGAAAGACATCATTTTTCGTTTCAATAAAAGAATTTAAGAACTGATGACAATTCCTTTCCGACTTTGAATTTCACAACTAGAGGAGATTGTAAAGATGATTTCCTTGAAAATGATTAAATTTGATTGTACAGTGCAGTGTTTTAAAAAACTACGCGAAAGCAATTAACATTCACATGAAGGAAATTATAATCAATGCATTTCAATCACTCTTCATCACTTTATTTTTTGTCAAATCATGCGAGGAAAATCCAACGCATTCACTCTATAATTGTCAGTCAACAGTTTTTTGCTTGAGTGTGATTGCCGATGTATCGAGATTACGTTGGGAAATTTCCAGGGAAACTTCCAGAGAAGATGGAAAGCACTTCACAAACCCAATCAAACATGACTCACTCTTCCTGAATTAATCGGTGTTTTCTACAATGTTTTTGTACCGCTGCGCACTCGCCGCTTTTTCTGTTGAATATCTTTATTTAAGCCGACGATCAACAGTTTTTCCTATTTTTGTATTAGAATAAAAAAATTACCACCACATTTATTTGGTGACTTAGAAAACCTGTTCTAGACAGAATATTCCTGAATTTCAATATTTAGAAGCAAAAAATTAATGATTCGTACACGCAGAAAAGGATTTACTAAAAAACCTAGCAAACTTGTTAGAAAATTAATTTGAAATCTATGAAAATTGCATTAAAAAATGCTATTGGTTATATACGTTCATTTTATTGTATATTCAATGGAGAAAATTCCATAGATTTTCGATTCCTGTTTGAATTTTTCTCTTGAAATTATTTCTATTAGAATTATGAAGCATCAGTGTTTCTGAGTTTTTCTTCTTTCTTTCGACAATCGAAACAAATAAATGACTCATTACCGACATATATTTAGTTATCGACTGCATTTTCTCACAGCCTTGCAGATATTTTTGTCAACGTAACATTGTTGAGAGTCAATAATTCAATGGAGGAAACAATTCAGGAAACCGAGTTTCCTTCTAAACTGTTCTTCGATGTATTTTTCCCCTTCTTGTTTCTTCCTTTCTTTTTTCTTTAATTTCAGTCTACTGAGAGGAAACGAATGGGTTTTTCATCAGAGAAATGATTATTTCAATGATTAGTATTTTTGGCCTTTCTAAACAATACATTTACCTAAATATTTTGTGACAGCTTTCTTTTCTATAAACAAACAATTTGAAAAAAAAAAATTGTTTTTATTCCTACGTGAATTCAACTGTCCCTTCATGTATTCCATTTTATGCTCTTCTTTTTTTTTCTTTTCTGTAAAATACATAAATATTCTTCCAAGTTTAAATTATATTTTATTCTGAATGCTTTATCTAGATGCAAAGTAAAAAATAAAGTAAATAAATAAGTAAAATAATGAGCATGTAAATTGCATCAAAATCTCAGCATTAATAATTGATTGAACTGGTGAGTGAGGTAAATGTAGAATAAAGAATAAAAAATGAAGAATTTTCCTCCTGAATATTTCATAATTCCCGATTAATCATATCTTGGCTCAACGAAAAAAATAGTAACAAAGTCTCAACATTAATAACCAGTTGAACTCATCAGTCTAGTAAAAAAAATCATAAATGATGAATGAAAAACTAAAAAAATTAAGAATGCATGCAAAGGAGAGGTGACGCGGCATAAGATAATGAAGAAACCAGAAATAATAAAGGAATCGGTTCCGCGTATTGAGGTTTTAATGAGTGAGAGAGTGCAGGTAATGGTGGGGTATTTACTTGTAGTGGGAGAAATCAGCATTTACACCATAGGTAGATCCCTGGCCATGGCCCTGAAACATTCTGATAAATGATTCCATTGGTGATGATGTCGTTGATCAAATGACTTCGCATGATGGTATATAGGCAAGACTCATACTTTTAGTTCTCAGTTTCTCCTTAAACACGCGGGCCACTCAATAATACAAATTTTTATAAATTTTCTTTATCTGTTCTGAAAAATGGCGAAAACTATTTTGTTGTGTGTCAATATTATTTTGTTGAGTGGTTGGACTCTTGGAGAAGTTCGTAAGTATTTTTTTTATGAATTTGAAAAGTATGTAAAATGTGTTTTTTACAGATTTAGGGGGAATGAGGCTTTGGTGGGAAAAATTCGGAAAAATGATCGGTTTTTTTTAAACTTAAAACACTTTTTTAAATAGCTATTAGTTAAAAAACATGAAAATTCTGGATCAAATGTAATTTTTAATCCTTCGAGCCGCTTACTATCTTCATTCAAAAAATTGTATTAACCCCTCGTATATATATATATACAATCATTGTACCATCAATATTTGTATTTTTTTAAAATTCTTCATAAATCATCGCTTTTATTTTACTAGTGTATACGACGCGCTATGCACCAAAAAAAGCTGACAAAAAACGTTACATGCTTTTTTTTAAAAGGGAATACAAGAAGTTTTGATTCCAATTACTGAAGGGAAATATAAGCGATTCAAAGCATCAAAACTAAGGTTTAATCGAAATTTTTCTATTCATCGAAGCAATTTGTGATCAAATTTAAGTAATAAAACAAGTTAATGAACAACTCGAATGCGAGCTAGAATCAATCCGAAATCATGTTGATTATACATCCAAAATATTTGAAATAATTTGAAACATCGAACGTTTGTAATTTGATTTTTGCCTGCGAATTATCGCAGAAAAAAATAAAAATAATTTATTTTTCAAATAGACAAACCGAGATTGTCATAACTTTACTGTTCTTCTCCCATAATTTAAAATAAAAACAAGTCTCTCACAATCGTATTGTCTAATAAACATAATCTGGAAACATAAAATGAACTGCTAAAATGCATTTATTATATTTTTCATGATTTCATTGTCTCTGAAACGACTAGAATACTAATATACTTATATCATTCAACAATATTTCAATTATATTTCAATTTTTGCACCAACACGTAACACAAAATGTGCTACCATCATATAATCGCGTTAACCACTTAATAACAATTACGTTTATTCCAAGAAGCTATTCCATAAAATCGTGCTCCTCAATTTATGTTTGATTCCGAATTATTTTTCTCTTCGTCTATTAATTGTGAATCCTTTTATTTATTATTTGATTGTTTTAACGATTACTTATATATTTTTAGCTTCATACATTAGCGTTTGCGGGCGAAAAGATGCAAATTTGAATGAATGCGTGAGAAAGAGCGTGGAGGCACTCCGAGGAAAAATACGTGAAGGAATTCCAGAGTTGGATGTGCCATCAGTTGAACCTTTCTTCTTACCAGAAGGATTGCCACTAGCTGATTCTCCTGAAATCAAGGCTTACGCTCGTAATGTTAAGCTCTATGGCATTCCGACTTTTATCCTCGATAAACTCAATGTTGATCTCGATAAGAAGCAGATCGATATCCAAGTGCATTTTGAGAAACTCAAGCTTCAAGGAGATTACGACGTCTCGGCCAAAATTGTCGTGCCGGTTAATGCTAAAGGACCCGTCGAAATCGACACAGGTAATTCATTTTTTAATGATTACTCTTCTCATTATTTATTTCCACCGGAATTTTTTTTATTGTCGCTCCAAAAAATTGACTGGCTGCATTTAAAATATTTTACACTGATTTTATACTTCATAAAATATTTCATTTGTATTATTTTCTCGCTGAATTGTTTGCAACTGGTGAAAAACAACCGCTCGCTGATAACAGTCAATCATTTGTTATTCATTTTGTCACGTTCCGTTTAAGTGTTCTCCTTCGGCATTTATGCAGTTTTTGTGATAATGAAAGGCGGAATTCTCTCAAGTCATACATTTACCGGATCTACAACGATCTGTTTTCAGTGGAAATAGTATCACTGTCACCTAGGGAGGTAAAGTAAAGAAGGCTTGCCCACGTGCAGAATTAAGGAAGTAAGCTAGTGGATAAGCCTTCTTTATTTTACCTTCCGTGGTGAGAAGATAATTTTTCTCCCGCTGGGGAGAAAATTTATTTTTCGCCGATTTCAATTTAAAAAATCAACAGTTTTTCTTGCCACTTTATGAATATGGACATTCGATACAAAATGTTGCACATAAAAAGTGATAAAATTTTCGTTTTCGGCTTGGTTATTTTAATTGTCTCAATAGAAAAATTTGCGTAAGAAGATCGAATTCAATTTTCCAATAAAATTATTTTTAGTAAGCATTTTACTTGGAAATACAAATTTGGAATTAAAATTGTGACTTTTGACTCTTGCTTAGGATTCAATTCACTGTTAATAAATCGCCCTTCAAGCTTCTTTCAACAAATAATTATTTCAATTCTTCAGTGAAATTTGCTTTCTCAGGCCCACATAATACAGTCATCGAAATTCCAGAAAATTCAGAAACCTTTTCTCGTAAAGTTTAATTGTTTTTGCGGTAATTAAAAAATTAGAAATGCCATTCCAATTTTTATAATCATTCATCATGAAAAATGGAGTTTATAGAATTAATTGAATTCTGAATACTGAAAATTCACATGGAACTATGCTTCAAATGAAAAAAAAACATTCTAACCGTAGATTATCTTTTTTAATGAAATTGCCGCAATTGAAATTATGAACAATAATAATATTTATTTATGATAAAATTGTTTATCCTTAGCGGATGTCAGCGGCCAAGCAGTTCTTAAATACGAAATAGTCAACACGAAGAAAGGCCAACGTCTTTTCTTCAACTCAATGTCTTTGAAACTTGGCATCAAAGATTACATTTCGAAATTTGTGGCAAGTGAAGGTCCGGATGTGACATTCAGCGAGGCCATTAATGCTGTACTCAACACGAATCGTCAAGAAATCATTGCTGGAATCCAACCAAGTCTGGAGAAGTCAATATCAGCAAAAATTCTAGAACTCGCCAATAAAATATGCAAAAACTTCACTTTCGACGAACTATTCCCTGATCGTGAATAAATTTCAGTATTATGTCTTGTGCGTCGATGATTACTCGTTTTAAATCCAAATTTTCAATGAAAACTTAATGAAAATTCTCATGTAAATACTGTATAGAATGAAGAAAAATAAAAACTGTTTTTATTTGTTAATCAATTTTTTTTCAATTATAAATGGATTTCTACATAGAGGAACAAAAATATAAAATTCAAGATTTTTAAAAAAAGATTTTAGAATCTGTCATTTATAATTTATTTTAAACTACAATTGGATGGATTTCAATTCGACTCATTCATCAATAGCTTCACCCAATTCTACATGTGCTGAAAAAGTTTTGGTAAATGTGTGGTTGAGGTCCACCAAAAACAATAATCATTGAAATAATGATTTCGCTAATGAAAAACCCTTTCGTATCCTCTCAGTTCACAGAAAATGAAAAGAGAAGAGAAGAAGCAACCACATGGCGATAAATACATTGAAAAAGAGTCTTGGGGGAAACTGTGTTGTCCCTGAAATTCCTTGACCCTCCCAATGCCTGCTGTTCAATTATATTCAATATATTTGAATTGCTACGGAAGGATAGCAGCGGATAAATCACTGAAGGTAGGTGGGTGGGTGAGGTAAATTCAGAGTTTTAGATAATGTGCTCAAGCCGGCATGAACATCCATCTTTTTGTGTGTCTATTGTCTACCAGTGTAATAATGTGTTTTGTGAGGCCGAAAACACCGTTACGGGCTCGCCGTAGTTCTGCATAACGGAAAGGGTAGTGGTGTGTCATATCTCCTAGACTAACTGTTTCGGCATAAAATGTGATCAGATCCTCAATTAGGTGACGGAAACTCATACAATCCATCATACAACAAGCAGAATGGCGTGGTGGACCTGAACTAGACATTTTCCGAAAATCTTACCCGGCACTCACATTGTATACAGATTGTATTTATGCATTTCTTTTAAACAATTCTCTATCTCGGGCTCGGCTGATTGTCGGAACTCTCCTCCGATTCTCTCTTACGATATTTCTCAGTGCAGGGTGTGATAATAATTATTATCATGTTAAATAATTTCCCCCCACCCCAAAGTGCAGCTAATGAACGGTTAATTTCAGATCCCTCCCCACTCTACTACAACCAGCAGGTTGCTGGCAAATTGTGATTCTACTACAACCAGCAGGTTGCTTGCGAATGACTCTACTATAGCCAACAGGCTACTTGCAACTGACTCCACTATAGCCAACGGCTACTTAAAATGACTCGACTATAGCCAACAAGCTACTAACAAATTAATTTATTCATTGGCAGCTCGGATGGAGCGCCCAAAATCGCGAGAATGAACTATAGCAAATGCTACTCACAAGTCGCGTACAAAAGTTTCACTAGGGACAACCGGGGCTGTCCGAAGTGCACTCTTCGAGCACACTCAGAGTATCTGAATATCCGTGCCGCGGTCGGTTTCTTGATACCTTAGCAGCAACATTTCCCTTACGACCGATTTCAGCCATCTAGCGGCGTTCCGTATGTGTTTATCAGTATTTCTGTTAACTAATTATAAATTTAAATTTTACTGGCTGGTTCATTACATTCTCCCCTTTCTTCGTAAAAAAAAGGAAAAAGGTAAATTTCTACAAATGATCGTTTTCTCTTTTTTTAGTGATAGTTAAACCCTGATTTTTTTCTTTATTACTCTACATTATTTTAAATCATAGCAGTCTTCTGGATTACAATTGTACTGATTTCCCTTGAGCTTTAAATCACATTGTTCAAATCATAAAATCATAAAATCAGATACAAGAAAACAAATTATAATGTTATCGCGTTCATACTTAAAATAATTCTCCAAAACATAAAAGTCTTACTGCAGATCTTATAAAAAAAGAATCGTTAATACAAAAACCATTTTGCCTTTGGCAATGCTACAAGCCTTAATCTATAACTTCTATGCTCAACCATTCAAGCATTCCTGATCAATCTTAAAAAAAACTAAATCGCACCACGTACGAATTTCATTAATCTTTCTTCGATATAAAACAAATAAAATCATGATAATAATGAAGAATATAACACCAAGTTTCTTTCAATGATTACCGCCCCCTTGGGGTGCCTTATTCTAGTCAGATCTGTTCTAGTCATTTTCTTTCACCTGTTCGTTAAGTTTGTCATAGTTTATTTACTATTGTTATTATTATTTCCCCTGTTCTTTTTCTCTATTTCTTTATCGTATTGTTCACGAGTGATCGTCTTATATTTGATCCCATTTCGATTTTTAATCACCATGTAAGGAACCAGCCAGCAAAATTTAAATTTATAATTATCCAACAGAAATACTGATAAAGGCGATAAAACAGACGAGTAAGTACGGCGCTATAT